TTCAAAGTACGACATTGGCTGTATCATCTAAGATTTGTTATATAATATTGGCATTATTAATTTTTAACTTTTTAAAAATGTTTTCAATTTGCTTATGTTTACATTTTTTATGTCTTGACCCATCAAAATCTTTATTTTATAATAAAGTAGATTATTTCTTTTCCATTCTATTCTAAAAGTATTGTTATAATTAGTCCTATTTCTGTCTTTTTGTTGTCATCTTAATCTTGTTTTACTAATATATCCTTTTTTGTCATGTGCTTGGATCATGTTTTCTTTGTTTTTATAGTCTCAACGTTTTGCCCTACTTTTTTTTGGTTATATATTTTCTGGAATTTGCATATCTGGTTTAACGAAGATCATACTATAAGCAGTGGCAATGGGGAGGTGGTCTGGTAGAGAACAGAGCTATGCCTCACGGAATATCTTCAAAGAGGAATTATTAGAGAGAATTATTAGAGAGGAATATTTGTCTGATAATCTGGTTGGTCAGGCTGTAGTCTCTTGAGTCAGTAAACAGATGCTGGGAGAGGTTTAAAGCAGGTTTCCTGTGTATTTTTCAGGAAGTTAAAAAATTTAGGTAATTCACGTACCATAAAATTTATCATTTGTAAGTGTACAATTCAGTGGTTTTTAGATATTCACAAGGTTGTAAAACCATCTGCACTGTCTGATTCCAAAACATTTTCATCATTCCCAAAACCCTGTACCCATTAGTAATCACTCCATATTACTCTCTCCCCTTAGCCCATGGCATCCATCAATTTATGTTCTGTTTCTATGGATTTACTTAACTCTAGACATTTCATGTAAATGGAATCATAGAATATGTGGCCCTTGGGTCTGGCCTTCATTTCCGCCTTCTTTTGTGTTAAATCTTTTGTGTTAAATATTTCCTAGTGTACCATAGTAGTTCCCTGGTTGTTTCTTTATTATATATTTTGAGTTGTTTTCTTAGTAGTTGCCCTTGGGAATTACATCTTAATTCATAAGAATCTAGTTTGGATCTATGGCAACTTAATTTCAATTGTTTATAAAAACCTTGCTTTGAGATAGTTCTGTTGTCTTCCTTCCTACTTCTTTATGCTGTTTTCATACAGATTAATTCTCTATATACATCATATGTTCATCAATACAGGTTTATAATGATTATGTCCTTTTAAATCAGATAGGAGGGAAAAGTTACAACTAAAAAATTTTATACTGTCTTTTATATTTACCTGTGTAAATTACCTTTACCTGTGCTTTTTATTTCTTCATGTAGATTCAAGTTACTGTCTAGTGCCTTTGATTTCAGCCTGAAGGTCTTCTTTTAATATTTCTTGTAGGGTAGGTCAGCTAGTGATGGATTCTGTCAGTTTTTGTTTATCTGGGAGCTTCTTAATTTCTTCTTTATTTTTGAAGGATAGTTTTGTCAGATATAGAATTCTTGGTCGAATTTTTTTCTTTTAGCACTTTGAGAAGTTATCCCACTGTATTCTGGTCTCCATGGTTTCTGGTGAAAAATCAGATGTTAATCTTATTGAGGATCCCCTGTATGTAATGAGTTGTTTCTCTCAGTTGCTTTCAGTGTTCTTTCCACAGTTTGATTTTGATGTGTCTGGGTTTGAATGTCTTTGAGTTTTTTTTACTTGGAGTTTGTTGAGCTGCTTTTTTTTTTTTTTTTTTTTTTTTGCGGTACGCAGGCCTCTCACTGTTGTGGCCTCTCCCGTTGCGGAGCACAACCTCCGGATGTGCAGGCCCAGCGGCCATGGCTCACGGGCCCAGCCACTCCATGGCACGTGGGATCCTCCCAGACCGGGGCACGAACTCATGTCCTCTACATCAGCAGGTGGACTCTCAACCACTGTGCCACCAGGGAAGCCCTGTTGAGCTTCTTAAATACGTAGATTAATGTTTTTTCATCGAATTTGGGAAGTTTTTAGCTATTATTTCTTCAAATATTCTCTCTACCTCTTTTTCTCCTCTCCTTCTGAGACTCTCATCATGTGTGTGTTGGTATGCTTGCTGTTATCCCACAGGATCTGTTCATCTTTCATCATTCTTTTTTCTTTCTGTTCCTCAAACTATAACTGTTCCTCAGACGTTATAGTCTCAGTTGACCTGTCAGCGACTTCATTGATTCTTTCTTCTGCCTGCTCATATCTGATGTTTGAGCCTCTCTAGTGAATCTTAGACTTTAGTTAACTACGTACATTTTGACTCCAGAATTTCTATTTGGCAAGACATAGTTCTCATGCTTTCCTTTAGTTCTGCAGACATGGTTTGCTTTAGATCTTTGAACATATTTAAAATTAAAACTTAAGTTTTTTTCTAGTAGGTCAAGTATCTGTGCTTCCTTATGGGTAGATGATTGATAGCTTTTTTCCTTTGTGTGAGCTGTACTTTCTTGTTTCTTTGCATGTCTCTCTTGTTGTTGAAAAGTAGACGTTTTAAATAATATAGCAACTCTAAATCATATGATCCTGTAATCCCACTCCTGGGCATATATCCAGAGAAAACTGTAATTCAAAAAGATCTATGCACACCAATGTTCATTGCAGCACTATTTACAATAGCCAAGACATGGAAGCAACCTAAGTGTCCATCAACAGATGGATGGATAAAGATGTGGTATATCTATACAATGGAATATTACTCGGCCATAGAAGAGAATGAGATAATGCCCTTTGCAGCAACATGGATGGACCTAAAGATTATCCTAATAAGTGAAGTAAGCCAGACAGAGAAAGATAAATATCGTATGATATCACTTGTATGTGGAACCTAAAAAAAATAATACAAATGAACTTATTTACAAAACAGAAATATATCCACAGACATAGAAAACAAACTTATGGTTACCAAAGGGGGAATGGGGGGATGGATAAATTAGGAGTTTGGGATAAAATATACACACTGCTATATAACCAAGAAGGACCTACTGTATAGAACAGGAAACTATATGCAATATTTTGTAATAGCCTATAAGTGAAAAGAATCTGAAAAAGAATAGATTTTATATATATCTATAAATTATATGTGTATATATGTATATGTATATGTACTTATATACATGTATAACTGAATCACTGTGCTGTACACCTGAAACTAACAATAGTATAAATCAACTATACTTCAACTAAAAATACCTATATGTGATGATGAATGTGAGCTTAAAAAAAAATAATTTGGCAGCTCTAGAAATCAGATTCTTCCTTCTGCCCTGGATTGGTTGTTGCTGATTTTGGTTATTGTTGTTTGTTTAGTAACTTTTGCTAAATTAATCCTGTGAAAGTCTTTGTTGTGTCTGGCCACTGATATCTGTATTGGTTAGCTTAGTGGTCAGGTAATGATTGAACTAGAACCGGTAAATTTCCCAGTCTTTACTGAGAGGATCTGTGTGCATTTGGGGCACTCCTTCAACCCTCAGCTTGGCAGTTGACAGCTCTGCCTTAGCCTTTTATTTCCTGCCTGTTCAGAGCTTCAAGTTTAGCCAGAGGTGAGAGCTTAAGACCTTCTCAGGTCTTTCCTGAACATATTCACAGCCCTGAGTATGCATACAGCCCTGTGCTTGCATTTGGCCTTCTGGATTTCCAGGAATATGTTGGAGCTTTGAACATCTTATTCTCCGCTTTTTCCTCTTAAGCCCTTTGGTTATTGTTTTGTTTGCCCTAGCTGTTACCCACTGCCTGTAAAATTGTTTTTGACAAACACCCACCCAAGGGAGAACGTTTTATGTACTGAGTAAGCTCAGAGGTCAAATAGAAACAGCTTTGCAAGTGGGGGTCTTCTAGGGAACCACCATACAGGTCAAATAATGACAATTCTGTAGGAATAAATCTTTGAAATTCTGCTCCAGTGTGCTCACTCTGGTAACTGCTAGGCTGTACTAAGAAGTGCAGCAGGTTGTTATTTTTAAAGACTATCGTGTAACTGAGAGCTGGAGATGAGACTAGGGCACTGATATTCAGCTGTTTTCTTGAATTAAGACTCCCCAGGTTTCTACAACCCTTTGGTTAGTTTCCAGAGTTCTGAAAAAGTTGATTCAAACAGTTTTTGCCAGTTTTTTCATTGCTTTTATTATGGAAGAGAGAATTTTTGGAAGTCCTTACTCTTCCATTTTCAATTATGTCACCCTCAGGCAATTTTTTTTTTTTTTTTTTTTTTTGCGGTACGCGGGCCTCTCACTGTTGTGGCCTCTCCCGTTGCGGAGCACAGGCTCCGGACGTGCAGGCTCAGCGGCCATGGCTCACGGGCCCAGCCGCTCCGCGGCATGTGGGATCTTCCTGGACCGGGGCACGAACCCGCGTCCCCTGCATCGGCAGGCGGACTCTCAACCACTGCGCCACCAGGGAAGCCCACCCTCAGGCAATTTTTAATTAAGTGGAATCAGATAATGGCATGAGTTGAAGGCTGGATGTATTTTCTTGTTCCAGTTCCATTCTCTCTTATAATTAATGCCTTTTAACCCTTTGAGATTCTGGAGAATTTAGGCTTAGGAGCCGGCCTGCCTGGATTCAGATCTAGCTCTGCTACTTATTAATTTTATGACCTTGGGCAAGTTACTTAACTTTTCTGTGCTTTAGTGTCTTCATCTGTAAAATGGAGATAATGATAACACCTACCAAAAGGGTTGTGACAGTTTTAAAAGTCAGTCTTTGTAATGTACTTAGAACAATGTGTGGCCCATAGTAGGCACTCAAGAGATTACCTGTTTTCGAAGTTATAATGTTGAATAATTTTAGATAATGTGCATCTGTTAGTTTTGATTGTATTTTTTATATATCAAGGATTTGTTAACTTCCAATGAATATAAATTAGGAAAATATTGTAAAAGAATTATTATAAAATATGTTAATATTTCTATAGAAATATGAGTCCAAGAAAATGTGCATTTCTTACATGTGTTATTCAGTAAGCATTAAAAAATGAATGGAAATCCCAGATAAAGTATGATGAAGAAAGGTATCATTATATGTTTATTATTTATAATAATATCTGTTTATTATCTTTATTAGGTTAATAATAATGAAATGGTTGCATTGCAACGAGAACCCGATAACCCTTATGATAAGAATGCAATTAAAGTAAACAATGTGAATGGAAATCAGGTCGGCCATATAAAGAAAGATCTTGCAGCTGCCTTGGCCTATATCATGGACAACAAATTGGCTCAAGTTGAAGGGTAATGCACTTTTGGAGTTCAGTTTTAATAATTGTGAGTTGTAGTGATCTTTGAATGTAAGGGTATGTAAAGTTGCCCTGACAACTTTTGTTGCTATACCTTTAGTATGCATTCAATAAATGTTTTAATTCTTCTTTCATCTGCCTGCACTACCCTAGCCATCAGATAGCTGTTCCCTCACTTTCCTGGTAAATTATTACCATGGAGAAAAATAGACTTTGGTTCAAATATTAGAAAGTCCACACCATCTTTTAAGAAAAAAGCTTTTTAAAAAGCCTTTTAGTGCATTGATTTGAGAAGTTTGGAAGTGTTTGTTTAAATCAGGTTGTAAGCTGATAGCCTGTGATCAGATGTACATGAGTTTGGTTTTGCCTACACAGTGTTTAATTTTTTTTTTCAGTTATTTCCGATATTCGAATATCTGGACATTCTACATTTTATGCATATTAATTTTTCCCTAATTATACGAAATTATTTATAAATATTTCTCTTGATAAATGGAAGATCTGGTAATGCAGGATACTTATTTCCACATGACGTCATTTGATTGGAGATAAGTAGCAGCTGTTGCATTATCTAGGCATATACCTTCTTAGTTCTACCACCTGTTCCTTTTTTAAATCTCCCAGTCTCTTTGGTTACATTTTCTCTTTTATGCGTTTGTGTCTGTGACCTCAATTTTAGTATAATAGTATATTAGATATATTTAGGATATTGAAAGGTGAGTTTGGAAGATAAATATTTAGCAGTGTCTTCTCACTTGTTTACTTGTTTTCTCCTTCCTCAGTTCATCAAGTTTTTCAGATATTGAGAGTAAACTTTCAGTGAATCCTGGATCAGAAATAGTTCTTGGAAATCCTTCCCCATGCTCCCAGAATGGGTTGCTGCACTCAGTGGTTCTGTTAGTGGAAGCTCTGCCTTCTGAATTAAACTTGCTATTTTACCTATCTTATGATCTTGGTAATAGGCTAACTACGCATTTAAACACTTTTACCTCACCTGAGTTTCTTCTGGCATTCTGGTCCTAAAAACTGCCTTTTCTTCTCGTTATTGTTGGTCCTAGTCCGTGTCCGTTTTCTTTCTAGTCTGCTCAGTTAGTTCCTTTCTGTTTTGCTTGCATGCAGAATTTGAATGTGGCAGTTATTTAACAAGATTTTTAATGAAACTTAAATGTAAGAAAATAACACTTCTAATTTCTCTTTTTTTTTTTCTTTCTTAATTATAATAGGGTAGTTCCTTTTGGTGCAAACAATGCTTTTACCATGCCTTTGCATATGACTTTTTGGGGAAAAGAAGAAAATAGAAAAGCAGTTTTAGATCAGTTGAAGAAACATGGATTTAAATTGGGTCCTGCACCAAAAAGTAAGTTCAGGGTTTAACCTACTATTATTGTGATATTGTTAAGATGCTGGAATTGTAAAACATTTATTCTCTTAAGTAATACCTTGAATTTGGGTGGCTAAATTAATTAGTGCTGAAGGCTCCAAGTTCTTTTGTTAGGAATCTTTTTAAGGAAATCCTTGAATTTTTTTTCTCTTTATTTTGAAATAACTATAGATTCATAGGAGGTTGCACAGATACACAGAAAAATGTGCAAGGAGGTCCCTCCCCTAACTTCCCCCAGTGATAATATCTGGAAATCTCTGATTTTAAACATTCTCTTTAATAAGTTACAGACAATAAGAATCTCCTAATAGAGAATGAAAAAGTATTATTTGTTTTTCAAAAGTTTGTTTAAATAATGTGGAATTCTTCTAATGTATTTTTTGAATAACCTAGCAGATTTAGTTTTAAAATTTTTAAAACACATATTAAGGGAATTTTTAATTCAGCTTATTAGACAAGCTTTAAAAGCTATTTACTAAAAGATAATTTATTTCATTTGGTGATTTTATTCTTTTCATTTTGTAAATTATAGCTTTAGGATTCAGTTTGGAAAGTGGTTGGGGCTCTGGAAGAGCGGGACCAAGCTATAGTATGCCAGTTCATGCTGCAGTACAGATTACAACTGAACAGGTGCACTTCTCTTTTATTTCGTAACTAAAAGTGAAGAGTGAAATTTAAATGCTGAAGGTTGATGTTTAAAAATATAAGATAAATATGCATCTGTTAGTATTAGTGATATTTATATTGTTATGGAACATGTAGAATAAATAAAATATATTGCAAATATTTATGTAGAAAGAAAGCAGTGATAAGGAATATGTCCACATACATGCATTCATATATACATTGAAACACACACATTGCTGTATACACCTGTGATGTTTTACTCTGTTTTGATGTTTTTGTATTATTTGAAATTTTTAAAATAGCCATAATTTTTAAAAAGTTGAAGCTTGAAACTTAACTCCTTTCAGGAAGGTTGCAAATGCAGTGCTAAAAAAACTAGTTCTGAATCTCTGGCCTTAGTCTATTTCTAACTTTGTCTGCTTTGTGATCCAGGATACTGTTATGCTGGGTTAGTTTGGGGAAAAAAGGTTATAAAGTAAATTAATGCAGATCAATCTACCAATTACATCAAAATTTTTTTTGTCTCATCAGTGTTATTAGTCTTTTTATATTCTAATTGTAGTTACTGTACTTTCCCTGCTCATTGTTAGAAGGGCTTGAGCCTGTGTCTGTCATTCTTTTTTTTTTTTTTTAATTTATTTATTTTATTTTTGGCTGCGTTGGGTCTTCATTGTTGCACGCAGGCTTGCTCTAGTTGAGGCAGGCAGGGGCTACTCTTCCATGCGATGCGCAGGCTTCTCATTGCAGTGGCTTCCCTTTGTTGTGGAGCATGGGCTCAGTAGTCGTGGTTCGCGGGCTCTAGAGCAGTCTTAGTATCTGTGGCGCAAAGGCCCAGCTGCTCCATGGCATGTGGTATCCTCCCGGACCAGGGCTTGAACCCATGTCTCCTGCATTGGCAGGCAGATTCTTAACAACTGCGCCACCAGGGAAGCTCTTGAGCTTGTGTCTGGTGGGTAAACCCCAGATTACCTCTCCTCACTTTTTAGATTTGGCCTGATTTCTTCTGGGCTGTTGCTATGTATTTATTTGCTAATTTACAAAAGTAATTATAATATATATATGTTACTGTATGATTGGACTAGATCAGTTTAAAGAACCAACTAAAGATTAGCATAAGATTGAAATTATCCTAATATTTTGTAGCACATAGCAAATTTCTGATTGCAGTAATAATCAATGAAATGTCCGAAAAAGTCAAATATACTTGGTAGGATCTGCCAAAATGGTTTGAATACAGCTAATAGAATCACAGAATTTCAATGGCAGAAGGAACCTTAGAGACACTCTAAATCTAGTTCATCCCGTTTCTTTTGTGGTAATAAGATACAGGGCCATATAGATTAAGTGTCTTGCCCAAAGTTATATAAAGGTTTTTTTGTGACAGAGTTGTGACTGAAACCCAGGACTTAAAACTCTATCCTGTATTCTTTCGACTGTAACAGTTACCTAAAGGATCTATTTATTCTGCCATTATTGAGCAGCGTAGTATCTCAAAGAATTAATTTATTTTATGTACCTTTTGGTATTCGACTCTTTTAGTTAATTAAATGACTTGAAATCTCTGAATTAAGTGCAATTATTGTTTGAATTGGTTTGTTTCATAATGTTTCTTATTGCTGTTTGTTGTAGCTTAAGACAGAGTTCGACAAATTGTTTGAAGATTTAAAGGAAGATGATAAAACTCAGGAAATGGAACCAGCTGAGGTACTGAGCCAGTATTTTCTATTTAAAAGTATTTGGAATTTAAAAATACGGTATTAATCTATACATTTTTCATCACAAGATCAACTTTTCTAGATTCTGCATGGGGTAAAAGAAAGGGCTTATTGTATTTCTATTTATAACGTTTCTTTTATTTATAGGCTGTTGAAACACCATTGCTTCCACATCAAAAACAAGCTCTAGCTTGGATGGTTTCACGGGAAAACAGTAAAGAACTTCCACCATTCTGGGAACAGCGAAATGACTTGTACTATAACACAATAACAAATTTTTCTGAAAAGGACCGACCAGAAAATGTTCATGGAGGAATTTTAGCTGATGATATGGGTTTGGTAATTATATTTTTCCTTGAGTTAATAATGTTTTATTTTGTAACTAAGATTTTATATGAAGTAATTTTGAAGTAGATAGAGATGGGAATATGTTGGTGCCAGTTTGGGACTCGATATCACTGTGAGTGTAGAACATAATTTTTCCTGTGGTTTTCACTTAAAATAATGCTGAGCTTTTTTTTTTTTTTCTTTTGGCTTGTTTGCCTAAGGTACAATTAAAATAATTGGCAGTAATGATATAAACATGTGTTTTTCAATTTTCTTTTGAAATTCAGGGTAGCTTATCTTTCATGGGTTTTCTTAGAGAAAAGATATGATTCCTTACACCAGCAGTTTTTATACTTTTTGGTCTCAGCAGCTCTTTATGTTCTTAAAAATTATTGAGGATCCCAAAGAGTGTCTGTCTTTGTGGGTTATCTCTATTACTATATCTATTAATATTTATGGTACTAGATATTAAAATTTTTTATTATTTTAAAAATAACAGTTAAAAAACTCATTATGTGTTAACAGAAATAGCATATTTTTCAATGAAATGTACTCCAAGACAAAAGCAATTTTGATGAGAAGACTGGCACTGTTTTACATTTTTGCAAGTCTCTTTAATGTTTGGCCTAATAATTGACAGCTGAATTCTCATATCTGTTCTTTCATTCATTCTGTGTGATACGTTGTTTTTGTTGAAGAATACAAAGAAAATTAGTCCTCATGCAGATATGTATTTGAAAGGGAGTATTTTAAAAGACTTTTTAAGATAACTAGATTTTCTTTGCTACAAGAAGATTAAGCAAATATTAGTTTATTAAAGGTTAATAATTATAATGTGGAACTTTTTTGTTTTTTGGCTGCACCATGCGGGATCTTAGCTCCCCGACTGGGGATCAAACCAGTGCTCCCTGCATTGGGAACACAGAGTCGTAACCCCTGGACTGCCAGGGAAGTTCCTATAGTGTGGAACTTAAAAAATCATATCAATGAACTTTTTATACTTTGTTTCATTAACATCCATTGGTGTAGCTTGCACGTTGAATGGATATTTTACCCATGCATGGTTTTTAGCATTAGGTGTTGCTCATTTGGAATATATTGGTTCACTGAGTTACACAGATCTGCCAAATGTTGATGCATTTCATTATACAATGCAAAAACATTTACATTCATTGATACTACTGCTGATCTTATTAGAAAGGCATTTACATTTGGGAAGCTTTTCTACTCATAGTGTTGGATGCAAGTTTTCTAACATAATTTTTGCTTGAAAGCTCAAATTTTATCATTAACAACAAACACTGTCAGTTGTTTCCTTTGGAGTTGATAGGCTCATTTTATTCATTTTTTTCAAGAAAATGTCTGCCACTCAGTCATGAATAACTAGTTATCAGTCATTCTTTCAAGTTAAAATGGTGGTACTTGAAAGTGACGATGCATGGTATCTAGTTCGGCTTGTAATTCAGTCTCACAAGTGATTTTTCTCTAGATAACCTTCATATTTTGGTATGCAAAAGAAGTATTTTGTGTACTTGCCATCTTCTTACACAGAATATTTAAAACGTGTATACTTAAGAGGTGAGATTTGGTAAAATGAATGTGTACTGCTTTATCAAGAACATTCTTTTTGTGGGCTTCTTAGTTGCAAAGTGCCGGCTCCTTAGTTGCAGCATGTGGGCTCCTTAGTTGTGGCAGGCAGGCTCCTTAGTTGCAGCAGGTGGACTCCTTAGCTGCGGCAGGCAGGCTCCTTGATTGTGGCATGCGAACTCTTAGCTGTGGCATGCATGTGCGATCTAGTCCTCTGACCAGGAATTGAAACCAGCCCCTAGCATTGGGAGTGTGGAGTCATATCCACTGCGCCACCAGGGAAGTCCCTCAAGAACATTCGTAAAGAGCATTCTTAAAGTGAAACTGTTTCTTTGGTTTGTCTTTTTTTTTTTTTTAACTGTATGTGGCGGTTAAAAATACAGTGACCACTAGTATAATGTAGTGCCAACTGCTTTGTGTCATGCTAAGGCAGCAGCAGTTTTACCCACCATTGCTTTCTGTGGAATTACTACAGATATCAACACAAGTAAGGTCTTAGTAGAATTATTAAAATAGTTTTGACTGCACATACTTCTGAAAGGGTCCTGGGGAGCTCCTAGGACTTGTGCACCACACTTTGAAAACTGCTGCTTTACAATGCTTTCAACTTGAAAGAGGTTTATTTCTATGTTGCTATTTATAAATTCAGCTATGGAAAATAATGAAAATTTTCATGATTCTGTTTTTAAAAAATGCACAAGAAATATCTTGTCCTGTATGCTTTATTGGTAAGGTATATAGTCTTTAAGTCTTGGAAATATCTTTAAATGAAATTTAATAAAGTAATTATCTTATGTCCATACTGGGATTACTAATCATTTTAAGTTAGCTCTGAATTACATGGCAAGCAAGTAGTTGTAGTTTTGTGATAAAGTTATTAGTTCAGGGTTAAATGTGACATTTAAATGGCAGTCATTCAATAAAGTGACATTTCCCTAAAAACATACGTTTATGGAAAACTTACATACTTGTACTGCTAGCTGCTCCAGCTTAATTCATAGTAGTCAAAAACTGGAAACAATCTAAAGGTCCACCAACAGGTGAATGCACAAATAAGTGTGCCATGTATGCATATACAACGGAATATTACTCAGCAATAAAAAAACACAATGAATTGCTAATAAGCATTTCTCTATATTACTCCATTCTTCTTAAGGAACAACTTATACCAGCTCATGTCACCACATGTTCTGAATCAGGTCTGGGCCTAAAATTGTATTGAGCAGAAGAAACTAAACAAAGAGTACATTGAGTAATTCCATTTATATCAAGTTCAAAGGCAGGCAAAATTAATATATAGTGATAGAGACAAATCAGCTGTTGTCTGGTACAGAGGTGGGGAGATGGACTGCAGAGGAATACAGGGCAACTTCTAGGTGATAAAATTTTTCTGTATCTTAATTGTGTGGTGGTTACACCAGTGTATACAGTTGTCAAACCTCTCAAACCATACACTTTAAGTCTGTGAATTTCATTGTATGAAAATTATACCTCAATTAAAAAAGGATTAAAAAAATAAAATGACATTTCTCAATGATGCTTACAGTATTTTACACAGTAAATTATTTAATACTCCTAGTAATATGCCATGGTAAAGCATTTACTAACTTAATAAATGAAATAACTTCACTAATATGTATATTATTTAGTATAATAATTAGCATACTTCTCTGGCCCTGAATCCTGTTTGATATTTTCTTACTAGATTTAAATATTAGTTTCGGAATGTTGTCTGGTCAACTGGGTTTCAGAATCTGACCATTTTTCTTTGTAAAACATTTTAAAGGGCAAAACTCTGACAGCCATTGCAGTGATTCTTACCAACTTCCATGATGGCAAATCTCTTCCTATTGAAAGAATTAAGAAAAATCAGCTGAAGAAGGTGAAGTATTAGTGTGTTTTTTCGAAAGTCTCTGGTTTATTGTAAAACCTTTTAATTTTGTCATTAAAAAAATTATTGCCAGAAAATTGATAATATCTGGTTTTTAGAGATATGATGAATGGCCTTTCTCGTGTGTTGCTGGTAAGAGTGAAAGTTTATGCTACATTCTTGAAGGCAATTTGGTAATGTGTATCAAAAGCCTTAAAAGTGTTTATAATCTTTGATTCAGCAATGCCATTTCAAAGAAACTAAAGAAGTTATCAGAAATGCATTTTTTCCAAAGAGAAAAATACAAGTCTATTTCCCCAGCATTATTTTAAAGGCAGAAAAGAAATACCTGTCAATAAGTTAACAGTTAAATTATGATACAACCATAAAATTTAATATTATGCAACTACAAAGTCCTATTTTTGAAGAATACTTCCATGATCTTTTTTAGTTAAAAGGCCAGGTACACCTCTGTGTATAGAGTTTGAGTCTTCATTTTGTAAATACATATTTATATACGTCTAAGTGTAGTCACACATACTGTGTGTGCCAAAATGTTAATAGTGATAATTATGTCCTAATGATGAGAGAATGGGTGACTATTCCTGATGCTTAATTTGTGTATATTTTTATATATAGCATATATACACATAATACATGTATATTCAGTTTCTAAGAATTAATAATGAATTAGTTTTGTAGGGAAAATAAATGTTATAAGAATGAAATGGTTGTTCTTCATTCTCAGCTGAAAATCCAAAGAACTTAAAGTAGGAAGTAACTAGGTGCAAGGTGTATGCAAAATATCTCTTTTTTGGACTTTTCTCTACTGTTCTTCTTATTTTTTACTTTTCAAAGATGCTGCATATCACTTTCCTACAACTGTTTATTAAGATTCTATTTTATTAATTTCTGCGCTTAGTTGCATTTCCTTCTTCGTACTTTTAGTGGGAGTTTAACTCTGTTGTTAATGTCTAAGATTCAGTTCCCTACCCTGAATAGTCCAGTGCTTTCCACGTCTGTCCTTTCTACATTTAGTTATTAAAACTGAAGAATAGCACCTAAGACTACTTACAGCTTCATTGTCAGTTACCAATTAAAAAATTATTATCAATAAGGCTTTCCCTTTTTCTCCAAGATCAGCCATGCATTTAACATGTAGTAGGAAGGTTTTAGGATATTTAGTTTGCTATATTAGTTGAAATTGAGGCTGAAAATGTGATTTCCAGCTAAGCATTTATTGCAACAGAAATTTCATTATTTCAGATGGATTTGGATATTCCAAGCTTACAGGGTGAAGTGTTATTAAATTTCATGAGATTGGAGCATAGTATGATTTGATAGGTTGGACTTTATATCTTTGAACTCTATGAAGAAAAGGCTTACTAAGAGTCATTTAATATGAAATGAATAATGTAAAGGACATCCTTTATTTGTAGATAAACTTTAGAATTACTTTTTGCATACTATTTAATATAATATAAATGATTGTACTGATTATTGAAGACTGGGGAGAATGATGAAAGGCATATTTTTTTTAAGTGACAAACCTTTTTTTTAAAAAATAAATTTATTTATTTGTTTTTGGCTGCGTTGGGTCTTCGTTGCTGCGTGCGGGCTTTCTTTAGTTGCGCCGAGCAGGGGATTACTCTTCGTTGCAGTGTACGGGCTTCTCATTGCAGTGGCTTCTCTTGTTGCGGAGCACGGGTTCTAGGCGCACGGGTTTCAGTAGTTGTGGCTCGCGGGCTCTAGAGCGCAGGCTCAGTAGTTCTGGTGCATGGGATTAGTTGCTCCACAGCATGGTGGATCTTCCCGGAACAGGGCTCGAACCATGTCCCCTGCATTGGCAGGCAGATTCTTAACCACTGAGCCACCAGGGAAGCCATGAAAGGCATTTTTAACATCAGTTTCTTGAAGCTAATGCTTTAAAAAGTTAATTATCTAAATAACTTCTAGTTACATATCTCTAAAAATGGTACATCTTGGATTTTAAATTTATTTAGACTCATACCATTCGAAGGGGATGGATTTTCTTTTCAACCACATTTTAAGTAAAACATAAACTCTAATGAGATTTTGTAAGATGTTTAAATTTCTATTTTTTAAAAAACTAAAATAAAATATCCTTTATTGGCCCTAATTCTAGGCAAAAATTACATTGTACTCCTGCTAACCAATCCTGAACACCACTCTGAGGTTTTGATTCAAAATATGACCTACCTTTCACAATATGACCTACCTTTCTTTTTATTTTTTGTAAATTTATTTATTTATTAATTTTTGGCTGCTTTGGGTTTTCATTGCTGCGCACGGGCTTGCTCTAGTTGCGGCGAGCGGGGGCTACTCTTCCTTGCGGCGTGTGGGTTTCTCATTGCGGTGGCTTCTCTTGTTGTGGAGCACGGGCTCTAGGCACACAGGCTTCAGTAGCTGTGGCGCATGGGCTTAGTTGCTCCCCGGCATGTAGGGTCTTCCTGGACCAGGGCTCGAACCCATGTCCCCTCCATTGGCAGGCAGATCCTTAACCACTGGGCTGTCAGGGAAGCCCCTACCTTTCTTTTTACACTGGAAGAATTAATTTAATTAAACCCAATTTTATTTGTCATTCCTACCTACAGAATCAAGTCTAGAATTAAAAGTAAGATTAGAGGAACCCTGCCCTACTAGACTCAGTTGAAAATATTTCACAGAGAAGTATAAAATTTTACTTTTATAGAAGTTCTTGTGCTCATGTACACATAGTTGCACTTTGAAACAAAGGAGAACACATGAAGGGAAAAGGACAAGGTCAGAGTTGGCAGGGAAAATCCCTGATAGAGTAAGGGAGGAGGCATTCTGAAACCTGACTATTTCATCTACCCATTCTGGGAATTCCAGAAAAAAAGGATGTCAATGGCAGCCTCATTAAAGATCTATTAGGGACTCTTGGTTTGAAAGTTTGTAGTCCTAGAATTCCTTCTAATTCTAAAGTAAATCCCATTTTGTGAATGTTTCTCACAGTAACTAATATGCCATTTATAATTGAGGTTTGCTTTTTGTATTCCTTTTGAAAAGGTTAAGACAGACTAGTTTTCTTTTTTGAGATACCTGTGAAAAAAATTTTTCATCAATTTGTACATTTTTCTCCTTAATGCAGCTCCTTCCACTGCTCCAGAATAGGGTAGCAATTTACGTAGTCTTTATTATGTAAAGTAAAGCAATATAAAATAGGATGCATTTTTAAGTTTACTTAAAACTGACGGCAGTACTATGTAAGAAATATGCCTTTTCATCCAGGAATGTAATGTTTACGATGAATCTATGAAACTTGGAGGGAACAATACCAGTGAAAAGGCAGATGGACTAATCAAAGGTAAACTTTAATTTTGAACATGACCCCATGTTTGATTTAGATTTTTCCAATTTAATGACGTAATTCCAGCTTTGGCTTAGTACTATACAAAAATTTCAGATCTCTTTTTCTAAAGAATCTCATGAGGACTGGTAGGAAGAATTTCATCAAGGAAGCGATGCGATGATGGAATTGACTTGGTAGCACATTAGAGGAGGAAAAGCAGTTTTGGTTGAGGAAAAAAAACCCATGAAAGGGCGGTTAAAAGCAAGACAAAACACAGAGTATATTGCTCTGGGACCTCAGAGTAGTTTATGGTATTTATAATGTAAATGAATAACAGAAGAATGTGTATGAATAAACAGCAGATAAAAATAGAAAGATAGGTTAGAGCCAAATTAGGCAGAGGAGAAATGAGAAGGGATCTGTGGATTTAACAGTTACGTGGCTGGATTTAGCAGTCGGTGACTTTCATAAAATTAATTTCTTAAGATTGCTTAGAGCAAGACTGAAAATATTTAAAAATAAGACTAGTAGATGAAGAATTATTAATAACAACTGTGTGCTGTTATGAATTTTGCTGTGTTTCAGATAGGAGAAAAATAGTTGGAGAGAGAGGCAGAATTGAGGGCTTTTGGGGGGTGTGGTTTAAGAAGGAAATCCATGGATAGGAAAAGATTTTGTATACAATGGAGAGAATAATTTGGTGGCCTGTGGGAGGAAATGAGATCAAGAAAATAGGTACATGAGTTAGCATGAGAAGGAAAGGAAGTAAGGTTGAGGAAAAATATAGATAATTGAGGGAATAAAAAGGTAGGAAAATTGATAATTTATAGAAGATGACATCTGATTTTTTTTGTAAAGTGAAGTAGGTCATCTGGGAGTAAAAGGAGTTTAAAATCTAGGCAGAGGATCCAGTGTAGTATAGATCATCCAGGTGAGTGGGTAGGGAGAACATGTGATAGGTAAAAGAGTTGCTAAGTGATACAAGGTGACCCTAACCCTAATACCAACTGTTTATTGTTCTTTTTTTTTTTTTTTCCAGCAGCTCTTAGCTGCCTTGGTATAGCAGGAAATTCAGCCAGTGTAGGGATTGGCTAGATGACTACAGGGGAAAGACTGGGCACAAAAAAATTGAAGGTACTTTTCAGTGAGAAAATACTAGATTAGGAAACTGTAGAGAGTACAGCTGGCTGATTGAAAGAATAGGAATGACGATATTAAGAAAGTTGAGCTATTGAGTTGGAAAACCAAGGTTTTAAGAAGGATACTGCTAGTCTAAGACAATTTACTAATACTCTGTATATTTGTCCTTTTTTTTGAAATGGAAGGATCTAGATGTAGTGGAGAACCCAGTATTTCAGATGACAAGGGAAAGAATAAATATCCCAAGTCAGAATTCTCTAGCTCCCGCCCCAAAAGGTAAACTCTGTTATGGTTTAATTTTATGTAATATGTTTAAACTCTTTCTCCGTTTTCTTACATATGGGAGAGAGCTATGACCATTATCTCAGTTGCAAAGTTCTTTCAAATACATTCTTTAATTTGAAACTGCTAAAGTCACTGTGACTTAGGCAGGTAGACCGTTCTCATTTTATAGGTGAAAAAAAATATTAATATATAAAAGAGCTGAATTGGTAATTTTTAATAATCACTTGTCTTTCTACTATTTTCCTATTTCTTTCACATAGGAACTGAGATCTAGCTCTTGGGTGTTTCGCTTTTGTTAAGACTTCAGAAGAATTTTCTTTATGAATTTGAGGAGTTGAGAACTGATGTATATGTGTCGGATGGTTTGACAAAAGCATTCTTTGCTCATCTGAGTTCTTTCTCACTTTACCTTTAGTGGAAATAAGACATGATAAAGTTATTCATGGAGAGTATTATATTAATGTAGACTGGAGGGAGAATTTGAATAAAACACATAATGCCCCTCTGCTCTCCATTTGAATCTGTTAACTTTATAAATTTTATTTACTCTCTGAGGTAGATCTAAATACTTGGGTTTTATGTTTTATTGTCCACCATCAATATCTGCAGGCATGACCTCAAATCTGAGTCCCTCTTAGCTATTCCACCAATAGAGATTTCAAAACTGGGGCTTTGTTAATTGTTCTCTATCTTTAGTACCTGTCTGAACTGAGCACAAAACCAGGACTCATGAGTTTCCCTCTCATCTAGATATCAAATCTTATAACTCTGAACTGACCATGAGCGTTGGTAACAGGGCACTGTTAGATAGCCCAGATCAGATTAAAGGGTGTGGAAATAATGATGACATGGGAAAAACAACCACCAACACACATACTATAACTAATACATATATACTTACTGTGCAACAAGCACTATTTTAGAGGCTTTGCATGTGGTAACACATTTTATCCTACAAAGTGGATTGTATCTTTATTCCTGTTTTCCAAGTGAGGGAACTGAAGCTTAGAAGAATATTAGGTGGCTTGCCTAAAGTCACATAGCAAATACATGGTGGAATGGACATTTGAATCTAAGCAGTCTCTCTCCAGAGTCCATTGTTCTTAGGCACTTAACCACCATATTGTACATATTGTATAAATTCTACACAGAATTTATAAAAATTTTCACTGTGAAAGAATTATATTTTTGCCCCTTAGCTGCCTATATCATTATATTGGAGGGTTATCTTTGATAATCAGAGTCACTTCTTTTTTGTTCTAGTTTTAATGTAAGTGTTTGAATTGAATTACCAAATACTGAACAAAGTGTTGAAGGGATTACTATCTTAGAATGGTTTACTTTCTCAAACTTATTTTAACGATAGTGATACTGCATTTTGTATAGTGAATGCTTCTGGCTACGAAAGCAAAATGCTTTCAGCAAATTTGACTTTCATTTGTCAAATAAAAATTTTTTTCCCTTGATATTTTTTCAGAAAATAAACTGGGGCAAGACAAAAAACATTTGTATTACATTTATTAAACATAAGTTTTTATATCCCGTTTTGTTTTGGATTGATAAAAAATTTGTGTATACTTAATTTTAGGAGAAAAACTGCGGTACAGTACACTGAAAGCAGCGATTCAGAGGAAAGTGAAACAAATGAATTGCCACAGAAAATGAAAGGTAATAGGAAATGAGTTTGATTTGATAATGTGTCCTGTGTTTTAATTTCCTAGTGTGACCAACGTTATATTTGGTTTTGGTTTTAGGCAAACTGAAAAATACACAGTCAGAGACTAAAATCAGAGAAAAAGGTATGTATATCTCAATATCCCCTTTTTAAAAAAATATTTATGTATTTATTTGGTTGTGCTGGGTCTTAGTTGTGGCAGGAGGGCTCCTTAGATGCGGCATGCATGTGGGATGTAGTTCCTTAAGCAGGGATGGAACCCGGGCCCCCTGCATTGGGAGCATGGAGTCTTAACCACTGTGCCACCAGGAAAGTCCTTTTCTCAGTATCCCTAATCTACACTTAAAGATTATTAAAGTAAAACCTCACTGATTTGTATCTGTCTGGCTTGGAATTCTTTAGTAATAGGTCATAAACTTGACTGCTTTTTACATTTGAACTATTTATGCTTATCAAGGGTGTTAAATGAATGAAGCAAATTGAAAGAACAGTTTCAAATTAAAATTTAAGAGAATATATTTAAACCAGCTTTAGACAAAACAAAGTACTCTCTACTAATAAAATGACTTCAATAAAACCTTTTTTGTATATGTATAAATTGTAGTTACAAAAGTAGGCTGAGACTGCCTTGTCAGTATAGTACTACTATTACCGTTACTTAGCATTATACAGATTTACAAATATTCAGTGAGTATCTTTACTTTTTCCTGTATCTTTAAAACATACGGTTTACTTTGTTTTTCTCTTAATCTGATCGTGTTGTATTCCTAATAAGTTAAGAAATTGTATTGCACTTGGAAGATAACTCATCATCATTGACTGATCTGAAAATTTGGCAGCATCTTCATTAAAAGTGAAACACCTGTTTCATTGAAAACATTCTCCTTCCACCTGGGAGCTGAATCACTTTGCATATGGCTGCTTCTACTTTCACATCTTTCCTCAAGAGAAGCAACAGTGAATCATGAATGACTACATTTCTTCTTTGAGCTGGAAAGATAGTGTCAAAAGAGGCAATTTTGGTTACTAGAAATTATTTTATTTTTATTTAGTAATATAAGCGCTTAAGAAAGTGTGGAAGTGGTATTATATTTCCTATCCTTAGAAAGTACCTGTACTTGAGTACAGGAGAGAATTGGTTTTCAAATATCTTAATGATTCTGTGGTTTTCACTTCAGCAGGATCATCTAAGGTTAAAGAAGATGCAGAGTTTGCATGTGCACTTACTTCATCTACCCCTGCAACCAAAAAGAAAATGTTGAAAAAGAGTAAGTAAATCTGCTGGGTTTTTACCTTTTGTTTGGTTTGTTTTTTCTGTTTTTCAAAGAAAGAAATTTTAAATGACAAAAGTTATAAAACCGTATTACAAGAAGTTAAGAAAGTAGAGAAAAGAAAAAAGTCTCATTTTTAAAAGTGCACTTTGATGTATTTTCCTATTCTGTTTGTTTTAGTTAGGTCAAAAAATACGATGGGAATAGGTCCCTTACTCATCTGAGTAGCATAGATATTTTTTCTAATAAAGGCACAGAGCAATTTATGGCTGCTTTAAAACTTAATTTAATTTGGATTAATTAGAATTATTATAGAGATTTATTTTTGGTATGAGAAGAATATGCTTTTCAATTAAAAATGTAAGTGATCTTTATTATTACTTTGTTTTGTAATTCATAGGGAAATGACAGTGCTTAAGAGTCTGAATATTTGAAATAGAAAGAGATTGAACTGTGGTTAAGGTGATCTGGGACAAGTTATTATATCGTTGCACCTTAGTATCCTCTGTTTTACGTGTTGGAGATACAGCAGACAAAAGCCTGTTTTCACAGAGCTTATGTCTAATGTTCGGGGGGGGAATATAAAATAAACAAGTAAACACATAATTAAAATTTAAAAAAATTTTTTAATTGAAGTATAGTTGCTGTATAATATTACCTGTTATAGGTGTACAATATAGTGATTCACAGTTTTAAAGGTAATACTCCACTTACAGTTATTATAAAATATTGGCTATATTCCTCATGTTGTACAGTATATCCTTGTAGCTTATCTTATACCTAATAGTTTGTACCTCTTACTCCCCTACTCCTATACTGCCCCTTCCCTATTCCTTCTCCCTACTGGTAACCACTAGTTCTCTACATCTGTGAGTTTGCTTCTTGTTTTTTATATTCACTAGTTTGTTGTATTTTTTAGATTCCACATATAAGTGATATCATATACAGTATTTGTCTTCTCTGTCTGACTTATTTCACTTAGCCTAATGCCTTCCAAGTCCATTCATGATGCTGCAGATGGCAAAATTTTGTTCTTTTTTGTGTGTGTGTGAAAACAGTTGTTTTATTTATTTAAAAAAATTTTTTTTGGCCACACCACTTGTCTTGTGGGATCATAGTTCCCCAATCAGGGGTTGAACCTGGGCCACAGCAGTTAAAGCGCTAAGTCCTAACCACTGGACCGTCAGGGAATTCCCAAAATTTCATTCTTTTTAACAGGTCAATATTCCATTGTATGTATATGCTAAATCTTCTTTATCCATTTCATCTGCTGATGGACACTTAGGTTGCTTCCATATCTTGGCAGTTGTAAATAATGCTGCCGTGAACGTTCGGGCTGCATGTATTTCTTAGAATTAGTGCTTTTATCTTTTCTGGATATATACCCAAGAGTGGAATTGCTGGGTCATATGGTAGTTCTATTTTTAGTTTTTTGAGAAACTTCCATACTGTTTTCCACAGTGGCTGCACCAATTTACATTCTCACCAACAGTATATGAGGGTTCCCTTTTCTCTACATCCTCACCAACATTTGTTATTTGTGTTCTTTTTGATGATAGCCAGTCTGACAAGTGTGAGGTGATATCTCGCTGTTGTGATTTGCATTTCCCTGATGATTACCGATGTTGAGCATGTTTTCATGTGCCTGTGGCCATCTACATTTCCTTTTTGGAAAAATGTCTATTCAGGTCTTCTGCCCATTTTTTAATCGAGTTGTTTGTGTTTTTGATATTGAGTTGTATGAGCTGTTTATGTATGTTGGATATTAGTCCATTATCATATCATTTGCAAATATATTCTCCCATTTAGTAGGTTGTCTTTTTGTTTTGTTGATGGTTTCCTTTGCTGTGCAAAAGCTTTTAAGTTTAATTAGGTCCCATTTGTTTATTTTTGCTTTTATTTCCTTTACTTTAGGAGATGGATCCAAAAAACACTGCTGTGATTTATGTCAAAGAGTGTTATGCCTGTTTTCCTCTAGGCGTTTCATAGTATCTGGTCTTACATTTAAGTCTTCAGTCTATTTTGAGTTTATTTTTGTATTTGGTGTTAGAGAATGTTTTACTTTTGCATTCTTGAACATGTAGCTGTCCAGTTTTCCCAGCACCACTTATTGAAGAGATTGTCTTTTCTCCATTGTATATTCTTGCCTTTTTTTTTATTGTAGATTAATTGATCATAAGTGTGTGGGTTTATTTCTGGGCTTTCTGTCCTGTTCCATTGATCTATGTGTATGTTTTTGTGCCAGTACTATACTTTTTCTTTTCTTTTTTTTTTTTGCGGTACACGGGCCTCTCACTGTTGTGGCCTCTCCCGCTGCGGAGCACAGGCTCCGGACGCGCAGGCCCAGCGGCCGTGGCTCACGGGCCCAGCTGCTCCGTGGCACACGGGATCCTCCCGGACCGGGGCACGAACCTGTGTCCCCGGCATCGGCAGGCAGACTCTCAACCACTGCACCACCAGGGAAGCCCAGAAGTCCTTCATTTTAATTCTTCCTAATTTCTCTTCATAGAGGCACATTTTTGTCATATCTTCATTGACTTTGTGTATGTTTGAGGAAAAAAAAAACAGCTGAAGTATGTATCTTCTTTCAGGAGCATCTGCAGTGGAGAGTTCAAAGAAAACTGATACTGAAGAGAGACCAAGAACAACACTGATCATCTGTCCACTTTCTGTGTTAAGCAACTGGATTGTAAGTCTTCACAGCCCTTTAAAAACATGTAATTTATATTTGTCTGACACTATAAAAAGAGTCTTTCATTGCAAGAAATATGCTTGGTCAGCACTTTATATTTAAATTGAAGTAACTGTTAAGTGAATTGGAATTATATTTGCTGAATTGAAGTTATTTTTCTTTGAAAATTTATAGTAGAGAAAGAAACATTGTCAGTTGCTGTCATAAGATTTGGCTTGTACTTCTTCCTCTTCCATTTCTGTCCCCCAGAGTGTATAATTTAAGACCACACCTTATTTATGAACTGTTGGAACCTCTTTTTTAAGAACACCACTAATGATAACTTTTGTTTTTATAACAGCTTATAACATTTAGTGAGCTCCTATGTGCTCAGTTTTTTCCTAAGCTCTTTTCATAGATTTTCTCATTTAATCTTCACAACTATTATTCTCATTTTCCAGGTGACCGAATTGAAACACAGAGAAATTAACTTGCCTAAGGTCATCCAGCCAATAATTGATGGAGCTGGGATATAGTTTCCAACATTGTGACTCTAGAGCCTATGCTTTTAAGGCTACGTCTTTTTTTTTTTTTTCCTTCTTCTTCCAGATTGCTTTTCTGTTCTAAAACATTGCATTGGAATGGAACCTCTTTATGTGTTACGTGTAGGAGCAGCTTGGTTCTATTTCCTTTCCAGTTTGAGCTTCAAGCTGCATGTGATAATGAAATAATGACTCTGTTGGAAGCATTGTGAACAAAAAGACCACTGGATGTGAACTTCCATTCTTGCCATCTCCAAGGTTATCTGCATCTCTCCTGGCCTTTCCTCCTCTAATCTCAGAGGTGGAAGAGGTCCTACTCTTTGTAAGAGCGATACCATAGTCTATACATTAGATTCCATCTCTTTCTGCCTTTTCATTTTGTGTGTTATTTTTCCCCTTGCCTGGTTATTCAGTCTCTCTTCACTGGCTCTTTCATGAAACATAGTCAGATCTTTTACATTTTTAAATACTTTCTCTTGATTATGTCTCACCTTTAAGTTGCTACTCTTCTTGCATTCACTGTCTTAACTCTTGGGGTTTAATTTCCACTTTATGCTTTTATTTACTAACTCCTTAGCTCATTGTAACTTGGCTTCTGCCACCAGTTCTCTAAATTTCCTTGGAAAAAATTAGTAGTTATTGTCTAATTGTCAAATTCTGTGACCTCTTTCATATCTTCTTGACTTTTATGTAGCTTTGCCTTCTTTGGCTCTTATCTTTTTATTATAAGTTTTTGGTGTGTTTATTATTTTTTTTAATTACACTGTCTTCTCATTAGTGTCATTTTTCCTCTTAGGACCAGGATGAGTTTTAGTTGTCTCTTGCTCTTTTTTTTTTTTATTCCAACAAAGCTATGCTATTTCTTTTGATGTGTGGTCCATTGCTGGAAAGACAGTACATGGGTACTTGAATAGCAGTTTCAGGGTGAGGTTTACAAGTATTAATGGAGGTATAAACAAAAGAACAGTGACTTTTTAACTGCTTGGGGCCATGGATATGTATTTTTAAAATCGGCAATTAGTATGTCATTATAATTTTATATTTGGAAAAAACCCAAAAGTTTAGTATATAAACTTAAGAAAGGAAACCTTGGCAAAATCATGCCTACTGAGGTTATGGAAAAACTGACTTTGAAAGGAATGAGTGATGGTTGAGCATATAGGGATAAGAATCAGAATTTTGCAATCTCTTGACAAGCTGCTCTCTTCCAAGCCCCCGGTAACATAACCTAGCACTGTAATAAACAAGCTAGAAGTACCTTATCTTCCCTTCTTTGTCTTCAAACATGGGAAAGAATCCAGTTAAAGGAGGAAGATACCAATCCCACTTACACCACATAATTTTTCTGGATATTCAGACAGATTATTTATCCTCCCAATGGAAAATTAAATAATAACACCTGTTTCATTCTCACAGACACACTCACACACACGCAACCTAGCACAGTGACTAGAAACTCAGTACTATAATTCTCTTCCTCCAAAAGAGTTAATTTTCTTTTATGTCAAGTCTGATCTTTCCACAGATACTCTGTTTCATTTCAAGGTAACCCGTTGATTCAGTTTCCTCTTACTGTACTCTTTCTCCTTTCGTTTTCCACCAGATTTCTTGATAAGATTCTCTGCATTTTCACCTTTACTCTTTTATGTTTTATCCTCTTTTCTGTATTTTTGCCTTAACTGTTTCAGATTTCATTCTCTCTTTAGCCCACAGTAAGTCTGGTTTTTGCTCCCACCCTCCATAGAAACTCTTTTTGAAGGGCTTCAAAGACTTCATTGTTGCCATGTCCAGTGAGTTCCCTTTTTCTTTTCCTCTGCCCTGACTTTGTTTCCCTTTTATTACTTTTTGTTATGTGTTATTTTGTAAATCTTCAATTCTTTTGGTAAAGAGAGGGAATGAACATAAACTACAAATTAAAAAATTGATCTTGGGGCTTCCCTGGTGGTGCAGTGGTTGAGAGTCCGCCTGCCGATGTAGGGGACATGGGTTCGTGCCCCAGTCCAGGAAGATGCCACATGCCACAGAGCGGCTGGCCCCATGAGCCATGGCCGCTGAGCCTGCGCGTCCGGGGCCTGTGCTCCACAACGGGAGAGGCCACAACAGTGAGAGGCCTGCATATCGCAAAAAAAAAAAAAAAAAATTGGTCTTGTATTCATTCTTGAAACTTTGATATTCTTTGGTCCCCTGCCCAAGAGTTTGTTTGCTATCCCAATTTTCTGACCACTGTTTTTCTCTACCTCTTCCTTCCATGCTTCCTATGTAGTCTGCCTTTTTTTCACTTAAAGCTTTTTTTTTTTTGTATTATGAAAATTTGTAATGAGATCTCCATTAGTCATCTAGATTCAGGAATCAAAAGTTTACCACATTTGCTTTATTTTTTTCTTTGCTGGAATATTTAAAATCATATCTCAGACATCATGTCTTATCTCCCAATGAAGCATAAGCTGTGCTCTTTAAGTATTGCTCTCTGCAGGCTCTTCCCCTAACCTCGTTTCCTCATTGTATTTGTTCTCCTTAGAAAATCTTATTCATTCCTGTAGCTTCATGTACGGTCTACTGATAACTTTAAAGTCTGTATCTACACCTGCATTACAGGCCAGTATTTAAATTTTTGGAGTATATTTCTCTAGTCAGATATTCTATGGTGACCAAAAATTTTAAATGTCTAAAATAATAATACTCATTATCTCTTTCTCATCTTTATGCCTGCTTTCCCTTTTTTTTTTAAAATTTTTATTTATTTATTTATTTATGGCTGTGTCGGGTCTTCGTTTCTGTGCAAGGGCTTTCTCTAGTTGCGGCAGGCGGGGGCCACTCCTCATCACGGTGCGCGGGCCTCTCACTATCGCGGCCTCTGTTGCTGTGGAGCACGGGCTCCAGACGCGCAGGCTCAGTAATTGTGGTTCACGGGGCTAGTTGCTCCGCGGCATGTGGGATCTTCCCAGACCAGGGCTCGAACCCGTGTCCCCTGCATTGGCAGGCAGACTCTCAACCACTGTGCCACCAGGGAAGCCCTCCCTTCTTTTTTTAAACTTCTCTGTATCTTTATCACACAGTTCTAGTAGTTAAGTATCAGAGTCTTCTTTTGTCTTCTCCCTTTTCTTCACATCCCATATTTAATTAGTTCTCAAGTCCCATCAGTCACTGTCTTTCACACCAGTCCTTTCCATTCTGTTCTTACTTTTGCCAGTCTGGTATAGGTCTTCATCATCTTTTTCATTTTTCATCTAATAGTTTCCCAGCGGTGTCTCCTTAGTACCTTCTGTCTCTTTCTAATCTTTTTTTTTTTTCCTGCTCAGAATCTCCCAGATCTACTGTTTTCTTGAGTTAAAAAAACCAAAGCAGACAAAAAATTCTCAAGTTTTTAAAACTGATCATGTTGTCAAGGAGGACAGGGACCAGGTCTTGTTTTTCTCTTTAGCTGCACCACCTTTCTGGTTGATACCTGGCAAACAGTAGGCCTATAATAAATGACTGAAAGTAGATACTGTGCTTGAATCTCTACCTACATTCTTGAAAATATTGCCTACTGTTCTTTCAGTTTAATTTTGATAATATTAAGTCACTAAATGGAAGCATTAAAGACCCTTTTTGTAAAATACTAAATTAAAAAAAACTTACTGTTTTAAAAAAGCTTGGTTGTTTTTTCCTTCTAAAAATGAAGGAGCTGCCCACTGGTAGGGACAGGCAAAATTTATATAATGTATTATTACTGTATATATGTCAGTTTCCCTGGCAATAAAATAACTAGTATTGTTATTATCATTGTTGTTGTTTTAGTTTAGATTGCATGAAACTTGTTTTTATGCAACTTTAGTAGTTTGATTTGTGACACTACTGCCAAAACAGTACATTTTATACACATATTGAACCTGACACTAACCTACTTCTTATTAAAATATTTCTAATTTTCTTTTAGGACCAGTTTGGACAACATATAAAATCAGATGTGCACTTGAATTTTTATGTTTATTATGGTCCTGATCGTGTTAGAGACCCAGCCTTGCTTTCGAAACAGGATATTGTTTTGACTACATATAATATTTTAACTCATGACTATGGAGTAAGTATGTTGATACTCAGAGATTTTCAGAAGTTGAATTTAAGTAATTGCTTCAGGTTTCTAAAGTGTTCTAAAAATCAGGCTTCATACTCTTCCCTTAATATATAGGAAGTAAATAGGAAATTTTTTTTAATAAAATATTTTATTAAAATTTATTTTACCTATATCTTGTTACTTTTTAAAGTGTAGCTGCTGGAAAATTTAATATGACATACATGGCTTGCATGACATTCCTATTCGACAGTGCTGCTCTAGACCCTTTTTCCAGAAGCATTCATGTGCATACATATCCACATAATTTTGTATATAATTTCAGGAACTGGTAGGAGTGCCCTAAATCCCATCCATGGGTTCTAGCCCCAAATTAAGGATCTCTGAATCAGGAGTTTCACAGGTTTCTTCAGGTGCGGCATTTACCACACTATGTGCACAGATTTACCATACTGTACAGATGGGGAAACTTGAGCATCAGGCTGTCCTCACAGCCCAACAGCTGAGCCCAGGGACTTCATCTGCTGGGGTGTGGGGCTGCCTGCCCCTCCTGTACTGGTGTGGAGGGCTGGCACTGGGGGTCGCCTTTTGGAGGGTGATGCTGCAGCTCTGCCTTTCTAGTCCCCCCAAGAGGAAATTGTTTTTGAATATTCTGCAAAAAAAAAAAAAAAAGAACAAGGTTTGACTTCCTTTAGATAATAATTTAGGAATATTTTATATTTAGAACACTTAAATTTTAAAATCTGAATTGTAATTAAGTGTATATAGCAATTTGCAAATGAATTCTTACTTTTTCTGATATTCTGGAATATTGTTTTCTGTCATAGTGATTTGATAATTGTTTATCTCAATTTAAAAATAAGCTTTTTTGTATCTGAAATTTGTTTCCCAGTTCATTTATAATTCTAATTGTTGTTTGCCTATAATTCTGGTTAAGTTAAAATGTTTTCCAAAATAGTTTACTATAAAAATTTTAGTCTTTAGGTAAGAAAATTAACTTTTACATAAAAGTAATTATGTTATATTCAAATAATTCTTTTTACTGACAATCTTTATATCATCATATGTTTGAATCTGAGGCAGAATCAGAGAGCTAGATTACCTGGGTTTGAATGCTAGCTCTGCACTTCATAGCTGTGGTACTTTGAGCAACATACATCACACCTTGGTGCTTCAATTTTCTCATCTGTAAAATAGGAATAATAATACTTCATAAGTTTGTGAACATTTAATAATTTAATATATGTAGTGCTTAGAGCAGTACCTACCACATAGTAGGTGATGATATTAAAGAATAATAACTCATATTACTTACTAAATTACATAAAGTATTATTTTACTTTCTTGTGTTTTTGATTCATATGAAACATTTATTTCAGACTAAAGCTGATAGTCCACTACATAGCATACGGTGGCTAAGAGTGATCCTGGATGAAGGACATGCCATACGAAATCCAAATGCTCAGCAGACAAAAGCTGTACTTGATTTAGAGGCAGAAAGAAGATGGGTATTGACAGGTAATGATAAAAAATGAATTCCCAAATATGTATGGTTAAGTACGTTACGAGGTAACTTTGTAAACTTCAAGTGGATATAAAGTCTCTCCCAAAAATCAATTATAGAAATCATTTAATAAAACATTTTGACTTTTTTTTATAGCTGCCCATGATATAGCAACATTTGAATTATAGTTCATTTATGGAACAGTCACTATACTTATTTTTGAACTTTGGAACTCTAGACACTTTAATCCTCCAATTAGAATCTTGATTTCTCTACTTCCCATCATGGAGCTTGTTTGCTACTCATGAACCTGTACTGGAAGATGGGGACGAGAATATAAACTCAGATTAGTTTTTTTCTTCTTGCTAGTGCTGCTGATTTAAAAATCAACTAAGCAAATGTTCTTGTTAAGGAGAAAGTTGAGTTTACGGGGTCTGTGGTCTTTCTGTTAGTATGGCAAGTGAGAGCTAAAAATCAGAGCCAGCCTGTATTTTGAGATTGTGTATATGTTTAACAAAGGGTTATACTCACAGCTTAATAGTTAGTGGGTGCGCTTAGAACAAAGTGCCCATTTTCAAGTGTTGTCTCCATTGATTGGGCCGGTGGATATTTTGATTGTGTATTCTGGCTATAGAGTTATAACAGTTTTCTGTTCTTTTTAGGCACTCCAATTCAGAATTCTTTAAAAGACTTGTGGTCTCTTCTTTCCTTCTTAAAACTTAAACCATTTCTTGATAGAGAATGGTGGCATAGAACAATACAGCGTCCTGTCACAATGGGAGATGAAGGTGGACTTAGGTAAGTAATTTCAGGACAACTGATTAATATTAGCTACAAATAATTGTTCGCAGCTTGAAGCAGTTGCCACTTTCATTACTATTTTAACCTGACTGTTGGCTTTCCTCTCCAAAAAGTGTTTACGGCTTAATGTCTTTGACTGTCAAAAATCTGATGATTCTTGTTTGGGGGGACAAATATTTCTACCTACCACTGAAAGGTTAACCCTCCTTTCCCCTGATTTTAGTCAGAACTGTGAAGGGAGAGCTATATGGTCTTTGTGTGTTGCTCTTACCCTCAAAACCACCATTAATAAATTAAGTAGTGACAGGAAAAACATTATATGCTCAGAGAATCCAATATGCACTAAATTTTCATAACTTATCTTGTATAGCAGTGGTCCCCAACCTTTTTGGCACCAGGGACCAGTTCGTGGAAGACAGTTTTTCCACTGATGGGGGCGGGGTGGGGGATGGTTTCGGGATGATTCAAGCACATTACGTTTATTGTGCACTTTATTTCTATTATTATTACATTGTAATATATAATGAAGTAATTATACAACTCACCATAATGCAGACTCAGTGGGAGCCCTGAGCTTCTTTTTACTTGCCAGTCGCTGATAGGGTTTTGATATGAGTCTGCAAGCAGTCAATTTATTGTGGTCTCTGTGCAGTCAAACCTCTCTGCTAATGATACTCTGTATTTGCAGCCACTCCCCAGCACTAGCAACACCACCTCAGCTCCACCTCAGATCATCAGGCATTAGATTCTCATAAGGAGCATGCAACCTAAACCCCTCACAGGTGCAGTTCCCAGTAGGGTTCGTGCTCCTATGAGAATCTAATGCCGCCGCTGATCTGACAGGAGGCGGAGCTCAGGCGGTAATGCGAGTGATGGGGAGCGGCTGTAAATACAGATGAAGCTTTGCTCGCTCATCTGCTGCCCACCTCCTGCTGTGCAGCCTGGTTCCTAACAGGCCACGGACAGGTACCGGTCCATGGCCTGGGGGTTGGGGACCTCTGTTGTATAGCTTTATACAGTGATAGCTGAATGATGTGGTAATACAGTGGCAGTAACAAGAGTTTTACAAGACAGAAAGTTGTTTCTGGTGGAGATAGATAAAAACTCAACTTCTCATAAATATCAACTTGCTGATAGCCGTTTTGCAAGGTACTAGGCTAATGTTCAAATTTTTTGCCTGGATCAGTGGTTTTCAGACAGAGGGTTTAGGATTCATTAGCATTTTGTGAAATCATAAAGATGGCAGCTAGCATTATAGCTGTTCATTAAAGAAAATGAAATAGAGTAGAAGATTTAGGAAAATAGCAGAGTGCATCACACACAGTATTGTTTTGTGAAATGTTTGTTTCTGTTATATGTATATGTGTTTTTGTATGTTTGATGGATGGAGTAAAATATGTTTCTTACTGTGGGTTACAGTGAAAAAGATTCAAAAGCCACTAACCTAGTTTGCAGTACTGTCTACTTGATTCCTCAGAACCAACTAGTTAAATTCTGATTTAAGAAATTGTATTTATATTTCAGTGTTAGGAAAAAATCTTTTTTTAAAGAGTTGCTTCCTGTTTTTTTTCTGATATTGAGAAGATTGTAAAGGCTGTAGAATCTAGAAGGCATTTATCCCTCTTCTGAATTGTCTCATCATGTTTTAATTTTTATTTTTGGCATTCATTACTTTATAAAAATTATTTTTGTACCTTGATTTTCATATTACTGGAGAAATTTTTTGAAGATAAGATCTTACTCATTTATGTATTTATGATGTTTAGTATAATGCCTTGCGCTTAATAGCTACTTTTTAAGAATTTGAGTGTCAAACTTTGGGTGGTGTAGTTGACAGAATTGAGAAGGAAAAAGAGGGTTAGTGATTAGAGAAACGGGGAGAAGAGCTTAAGAAAAATAAGGACAGGATAAAAGATTAAACTGTGACAGGTAATGAATTGAGGGCAAATTTAAATGTATTTTGTTACTATAATTTTCTCTTTGTAGAATATGTCTGTCATTATAAGATTAGATAAAACCCCAAATAAGTGTTTTTTTTTTAAATCTTTACTAAGGTTATAGAATGGTAATAGATTAAGATATTCTTTTTTGTTCTCATTGAATTAACTTATGGAGAAATAAAAAGTTATGTGATTATTTCTTTTATTTTGATTAGGCGTTTACAGTCCCTAATTAAAAATATTACACTTAGAAGAACAAAGACAAGCAAAATTAGAGGAAAACCTGTTTTGGAGTTACCAGAACGTAAAGTATTTATTCAGCACATTACACTTTCAGATGAAGAGAGGAAGATTTACCAGTCTGTGAAAAATGAAGGCAGAGCTACTATTGGAAGGTATGGAGAAAGAAAGTCATTTTAGAAATTAGTTTTTATTTTCTTTGTTAACTTTAATTGAATAGCATTTTTTAGGTATGTTAGCAATAAAGTCTTATTAAGTGCACTGAAGTATAATTTTTTTTAACTATTTACTTTTTAACAAATTAATAGTTGAAGTGAGTGAAATAATATTATAATTCACCAGGTAAGTAATTCCTTAAGTTAGGAAAAAAGTTTACGTGAAATGGCAAGTCTTGGATTGCTAGTCAGAAGACCTTGCTTGCTTCTATTCCTGGTTCTGTGTCATGCGAGATTAAAAACATTGAGAGAAGTATATCTAGAGAAGGACTAAAACTTGGGGAACGTTCCACATTAAAGACATAGGAAAATAAAGAGGAGCCACTGGAAGAGATTCTATCAAGGGGAGATGTATGAAGAAAGTAGAGAAACTGTTACAGAATTCCAGTAAAGACTGTAATCAAGAAAGAATATATGGTCAGTAGTGTCACGTAGTGCAGAGACTTAGTAAAGGCTATTTACAATAATTTGGTGATTCAGAAGTTACTGGTATAAACTCCCAGAATGGTTTCACTAGAATGATGAGATATGTAGCCAAATTGTAGGAGTAAAGGGATTGCAAAGAAGTAGCCAGCTGTAGGGGTAGACCATTTTTCACGAAGTTTGTCTTTAAAAGGAAGAAGACTGGTAGATAGGATTGACAGTTGGCTGCTGGATCAGTTTTTTGATGGTTTTATTTGTGTAATTGCTTTGAGAGGAAGAGAACATGGAAGAGACTACAGATAGAAAAGAGAATAAAACAAATTGATGGAGAAAAATAAAGCCTACTCTGGAGGTAAATAATATCAAGAGTACAGTCAGTGAACTATGAGACAAGATATCTACAGAATAAGGCAGTGGGAAGTTGAGGAAGGTAGACTGGATTTTCAGCCGTTGCAAAAAGTAAGGTTTTTAGAGTGGTAGACAGGCTCCATATGGTATTGGATCTATGTAAAAGTTAAATCAGTACGACTTTCCAACCACACATGGAAATCTGGAACTAGGAGCTGATGAAGTGTAGATTAAAGGTATTGGGGATTGGTAGGTGAGGAATTCTAGTCTAAGCAAGAGCATGTTTGATGTGAATGCATGAAGGAACCAGAATGAGTAGGAGACAAGTGAAGGCAGGACAGGGTTGAGAATATAGGGGAATCTTCAAAACATAAGAACTTCAGTGAGGTACAAAGCAGGTTTAATAGGAATTAGGAATATTGAGAAAGATTGTTCTAAGCAAGCGATTTCAGAGTTGAAAATCTTTGCAGTGGTGATTCAAATTTCCTTCATATTCATTCTTTCAACCAAAATTTATTAAGTGCCTGTGTGCCAGGCACTGTTGTACACATTGGGATACAGCAGAGTAAAGCAGACAAAAATCTCTACCCTCAAGGAGCTTATATTTCAGTGGGAGGTAACAGATGATTAAAAAATTAAGTTTTATGGAAAAAAAGTAAAGCAGAGAAAGGAGGTGAGGGAGCACTGAAGCTGTTTTTATAGGGTATTCAGGGAAGATGATTTCACTTGAGAAGGTGATATGTGGGAAAAGATTTAAAGGAGATTGGGGTTGGCGGGCATTTCTGGCAGAGGGGAACAGCAAGTGTAAAGGCCCTGAGTTGGGAGCATACCTGAGGAGCTTGAGCAACAGAGAGGCAAGTGTGGCTGGATAATATGGGCAAGGCGGAAAATAGTGATGATGTCAGAGAGCTGTTGGCGTGGGGGTGGGTGCAGTTATGTAAGGCATTGTGGCGTATTGGAAGAACTTCGGCTTTTACTGTTCATGAGATTTGGGAACCTTTGAAGGAAGCGTTTTGAACCACGAGTGACTTAATTTTACTTATATTTTTAAAGGATAACTGGCTGCTGTGTTAAGATTTACATTGTAGAGTCAAGGCATAAGTAGGGAGAACAGTGGCAAAAATCAAAGTAAGAGATGATGGTGTTTTTTTTTTTTTTTTACTACAGTAGTAGTGATGAAGGGGGTGAGAAATGCCCGGATTCTGTTACATTTTGAAGGTAGAGCCAGCAGAACTTGCTGATTGATATAGTATGGGGTGTGAGAGAGAGGAGTGAAAGATAACTGCAAGGTTTTTCACATGAGTGGCTAGAAGGATGGAATTGCCATTTGCAGAATAGGTCTGTAGGGAGGAGCAGAGTTTTCTCAGGGAAGATGAGAAACTCAGCTTTGGGCACATTGATTGTGTGATGCCTGTGTGACTTCCAAGTGGAGATGTCCCATAGTCAGTTGGATATGAGATTAGAGTTCATGGGAATGCTCTTGGTTTGATATAAATTTGAAAGTCACCTGTGTGTAAATGGTACTTTTAGCCGGGAGACTGGATAAGATCAGCAAGAGAGTGAGTGAAGTTAGAGAAGAGTTCTAACAAGACAGGTGTAGCTGGTGAGGTAGGAGGAAACTTCTACTTCGGTATCTGGCACTCAAAAGAAATTTCTTAAACTGAAATATTCATTTTCAGTGTAAGAAGTGGTGCCAGGGAGTAATTAGACTGTTGGTAAATGTTATTCTGTTTGAAAAGGTTGAAAAAGAGTAACTTTATTGAAACTGTTCTCAGAGAAAAAATGTTATTTAAAAAATACCGTAATAGGTAGTACATTTACTAACATTTATTGAGCACTTACTACGTGTTATGCATTCATCTGAGAGCTTTATGTGTATTAATTCACAACAATCCTATTAAGTCAGTACAGGGATTACCTACATTTTACAGAGGAAGGATCCGAGGCACAGAGCAGTTAGGTGACTTACACTGTGTCACACAGCTAATGAATGACAGAGGTGGTGTTTAAATTCAGGTAGTTTGGTTCTAGAATTTGTAAGTTCAATCTTTATATTGCCTATTCCTTGCATTCTTGAATACTGAGAAGCATTTGTTGCCATAATACTACTCTTACTAATAATATCAGCAGATATATATCATTTACCATAGTCCAGCACTATTCTAAATGCTTTGCATGTGCTAACTTTTTTAATACAACAGTCCTATGAGGTATGTATTATACCACTGTTACAGCTGAGGAAGCTCAAGACACAGGTTGAGAAACCTGCCCAAGTTTTCACAGTTAAATTGACAGAGCCAGATTTTGAATTCAGACAGTCTAGCTCTAGAGTCTGTCCTCTTAACCATTAGGCTATATTTCTCCTATTGCCTTAATACTTAAATACCAGATTGCCTTGGTATATAATTTTTGGATCACCCATTGTTTCTTCAAAACCTGTATTGTCTTTGTTCTACTGTATTTTATATTGAATAGTTCCATGGAAAACCTTGATTTTTATTTTATTCTATTCTTTAAAGTCCAGGAATTTCACCAGGATCTCTGTTGATATTTTTATGGAACATGTGGTACCATTTAAATCTGTAGATTCCAGTCTTCCTGCACCCCCTTTTGGGAAAGTTTTCTTAAATACTGTTTTCTGTTCCATTATTTTATTTCTCTCTGTGTATGCTGGATATTCTTTTTTTCCCATAGGTATCATTTTATTCTAATCATTTACATCTTTCTGTTTAATTTTGCTTTTCTCAATCCTGTTTCCCACAATCTTATGTTTTTATCAGTGGCTAGTCTCTTTTATGCTGGCTTCCCTGTGGCTTCCTCTGATAGTTTACTTTTCTCTTTCATACTTTTTAGCTGTACCAGCTCATCTTTGATCTCTATTTTGTTTTGCCATACCTTTTCAAGTTTTGTCTCTGCTTTAAGCTATTGGTGGTTTTTTTTTGGCGGTACGCGGGCCTCTCACTGCTGTGGCCTCTCCCGTTGCGGAGCACAGGCTCCGGACGCGCAGGCTCAGCGGCTATGGCAGAGCAGCATGTGGGATCTTCCCGGACTGGGGCACGAACCCGTGTCCCCTGCATCGGCAGGCAGACTCTCAACCACTGCGCCACCAGGGAAGCCCTACTGGTGTTTTTTTAGGAGGAACTGTTTTATTGAGTGGTGTTAAATCATGGTAGCATTCTTGGTCATAATTTTTACTTGCTCTATGGCAACATTTTTCTGGTGAGTTTTCTTTCACTGCCATTTGTTCTCTCCCTTGCTCTTTGCTGATTGTTACTCATATATGAATGTCTTGAGCTCTTTCTGGACTAGCTATTTGCAAGAGATTCATATGACGGGACAGGAGTCATAGCTGTATCCTCGACTGGCAGGAAATATATCCTTATTTAATTATGACTCAGGGTTACATGTGAGTTCTTTCAGATTTTACTTGTGCTCATAAAACAGAGATCAGAAGCTTTAGGGTTCCTTACAATACGGAATGCTGTGGTTATAGTCTTTTCTGAAAACACAGTAGGGCCATGTGTTTCCTATTCAGCTTGCCTTCCCTCCGTCTTGGTGTAAACTTGTCCAGGGGCGTTCAGGCCATGAGCCGTGCACATAAGAGATGGTGATTTCTCCTTGGGGCATGCTGTTTTGAAGAATTGTGCTCTGGCAGGTAGGTCTGCTTGAGGTCTGCAGTCATCTCTCAGTATCTTCCTTTTTGACTTCTACTGCAGTTGGCAGCCATTTCTCATATACTTTGCTTTATTGTTACAAATCTCTCCTGGTTTCATTAAAGATAGAGTTTACTTTTCTGTTTTCCATTCATGTTTTGAAGTGATTTCCAGGGAAGAAGAAAACAATGCTATTTTTGTTGCACTGTTTTAGAATAGGAAATATTATTGCTTAGAGGCCTTCATAATATTCAGTGTTTTTACCTCTAGGTATTTTAATGAAGGGACTGTCCTTGCACACTATGCAGATGTCCTGGGTCTTTTGCTTAGATTGCGGCAGATTTGTTGTCATACTCACCTTCTTACAAACGCAGTGTCTTCCAGTAGTCCCTCAGGTAGGTAAATGTGGTTGGTTTACACATCATATTTATTAGAGATATTTAAATCAGAATGAGAAACTTTTCATATGGCCTAAATTTAGTTTATTTGTCAAATGGACATTGATTTTAGAATAGGACTCAACTAGAAATACACTCAAGAACCTCTCAACAATGAAATGGAATATTAATGAGGTTTTCAAATATTTCCAGTGATAGTCTTAGAAGAAAGGTTCAAATTGGATCAGCCTTTTATTCTATGGTAGTACCCACAGATGGTGTTACAGTGATGTTTCTGTGTAAGGTATGTTATGTGGAGCTTCTGAATTTTTCTTAAAATTTCACATTTAAATCATGCTTTTTGCCTGTGATAAAAAATAAATAAATAAATAAAAAGACTTAAGACTACCCAAGCAAACCTTTTCTCTATATAAGGAAGATTAAGATTGTCTAGTCATATTACAAGTCTTGCTCCGAAATTAATTTTCCAGCCTTTTCTCTAGGAAATGATACACCTGAAGAACTACGAAAGAAGTTAATAAGGAAGATGAAGTTAATTCTGAGCTCAGGTTCTGATGAAGAATGTGCAATTTGCTTGGATTCTTTAACGGTTCCTGTCATAACACATTGTGCACACGTCTTTTGTAAACCCTGCATTTGCCAGGTCATTCAGAATGAGCAGGTTAGTTTTATGCTGAATACAAATTCAGTGTTTGATGGAGTGGTGTTGCAGTGTTGAGTGTAATGAAAACCCAAGTCCAACAGAGACTATAAAGAGTTTTGCACTTGGATTTACTAGTGCACCTTTTATATATAATTTTATCAGTGTTTTAATAGATATGTTTCATTATAATTAAGCCCTTTTAATATAAAAAGACATTTTTTGGAGGTATATTTCACAGTCAATATTTTAGTTCTACTAACTCTTTAGATCATCTTTGTCTAAGAAATAGATTGATAATGTGAGACACAAAGGTAATTTAAAATTTTCTAGTAAAACAGATGAAGTTAATTCTTATAATGCATTTTTATTTATCCAGTATATCTAAAATATAAAAAATTAATGAGATACCTTACATGATTTTTTAAAACTTAAGTGATCATAATTCTGTGGTATTGTGCACTTAGAACACATCTCAATTTGTCTTTACCACATTTCAACAGCTTAATTGCCATGCATGGCTGTTGGCTGCTATAGCTAGGTAGGTCTAGATTCATGTGAAGTGGAATAATCCTGTAAGCAATCCTTCTGAGGTATAATTTTTTAAAACATTTTTATTGAGATATAATATACATATAACAAAAAATGCACATCATGATTGTATAGCTCAGTGAATTATGAAGTAAACAAATCCATATAACTACCACCCAGATCTTCCTGTGTTCCTTCCCAATCATTACTGTCTCCCTCCTCTCTAAAGGTAACTCTACTATACTGACTTCTAACATTGTTTTAGGTTCAGAATCTTTTTTATTGTAATGGTATTTGGTATGTAGTTATTTTAGGTATAATCTTATTAGTATGCCTTGGTACAAAATGGACACAACAGATAACTGCTTTGAATGAACCTGATAGGACTTATCAGATCTGGACTGGCTTTATAGGCTATTAAGAAGGAAATTATTCTTTTTTCTTCTAAAGAATAGTTCTATGCTATATTGTAATTAGGTTCAAGAAACTTATTCATGATTTATTTGTCTGAAAATAGTATAATATTTATTGTTTCAAGCTCTTGCTGCTAGTCAAGATCACCTACTTTTGCTTTTTTACCAATCCCACTTACTACATTAGAACATTATATCTGCCTGGAGTTCAGCATGTACACATTTATCTCAAATGGATGAATCTAATAAAAGGTTTAATAAAACGCTGGCTATTAGGGAAATAGAATTTACCATGCCTTTTAAAATTTTTAGGCAAATTTATATTTCTGTTCCTTTGTTAAGTGTCACTCGTACTTTGTTCTTTCTTATATAGCCACATGCTAAATGCCCTTTATGCAGAAATGATATACATGGAGACAATTTATTAGAATGTCCTCCAGAAGAATTGGCATGTGACACTGAGAAAAAGCCTAATATGGAATGGACATCCAGTTCGAAGGTAAATATACATGTGCAAATGTTTGAGTATTTGTTTTATGTTTATATAAAGAAATACCGTATTTAGAAATAGTAATTCTGCTTCTAATCCTGTCATTTGAGTATTATACTCTGTTGGTGGTTACTGGCTTTTTGTTTCTTTCTGGTGGTGAATTTGAGAGATGAGAGAAAGCATTCAGATGATAGTATTTTTTTAGTCTCAATTTTTAAAAAAATTGGTGGTCTTTTACATTTGTATTTTAGGGAGATAACATGGCAGGACCTTTCTCTTCCAATTCAAAATGGAATCTAATGGGTATCCTAATTTTTTTCAGATTAATGCTCTAATGCATGCATTGATTGACTTAAGAAAGAAGAACCCCAACATAAAAAGTTTAGTTGTTTCTCAGTTTACAACATTTCTGTCTTTAATAGAAACACCACTCAGGTAAGTTCAACAGTGTTTCTCACTTGGAGCAAAAGGATTTTATATAAATGTTTTAATTTGGATAGCAAAAAATCATTATGTATGTTTTACCACTTTTATTCATTTCATGTATCTAAAATAACAGTAGCAATAAAGAATACTCCTGAGAACTTCGAATTTTAAAGATTAAGTCCTGAGTTCATAGGAAAAAGGTTGACTGCAGGGCCTGACATATTAGTAGATGATTAGTAAATATTTGTCAGCAGAAATGAAAGAATTGGTTGAATGAAAAGATTACAATTACTTAACATGTTTTTTTTTTTTTTTTACATCTTTATTGGAGTATAATTGCTTTACAATGGTGTGTTAGTTTCTGCTTTTTATAGTGTAGTGTTACTTGTCTCTTTTGTCCCCTCCATTAGAGCCTCTGGATTTGTGTTTACTCGTTTGGATGGTTCTATGGCCCAAAAGAAAAGAGTTGAATCAATTCAGTGTTTTCAAAACACTGAAGCAGGATCTCCAACTATAATGCTTCTATCCTTAAAAGCAGGTGGAGTTGGTTTGAATCTTTCTGCAGCTTCTCGAGTATTTTTAATGGATCCAGTAAGTAGTTTTGTAGACTTTTTGGTATGTTACTACTTCTTTAAAAAAATAAAAACAAAAAACTATTTGGTAAATACCTTTATAGTTGTAACTGATTGTGAAAATTCTTAGGCAAACTTTAGAAATAGACAATAACTTAGTAAAAGTGTTTTAAGGGCTTTCTCTTAAGTGCTTTACATATATCAACTGAAATTCTCACAGCATCTCTATGAGGTGGATCTTGTTACTATCCCCATTTTACATGTGAGGAAACTGAAACATGGAGAAATGAAATAGCTTGCCCTATCACACAGCTAGTGATATACAAATCAGGATCAGAGTCCATGTTTATAAGTATTATGCTGTGCTTTTCTACTGCTCTTCTATATACAGAATAAGTTTCTGTTAACTAATGCTTTAGGGAAGTGTTTTCATTGATTCAGCCCATGAATCAATGAGATCTTACTTTGTGTCAGGGAATCTTACTGGCACAGGGAATCTGGATATAAACAAGATAGACAAAGTAGCCACCATCATGGTGCTAATAGTCTCAAGCTTTAACGTGCATAAGAATTAGGAAATGCAGTTTGACCTCTGTCTTCAGATTTAGGAGTTCTTGGATGAGACCCAGGAAACTGCATTTTTATATAGACCATAGGTGATTTTAGGTGCACATGGTCCAGCATCACAGTTTTAGAAACAAGTACCATTAATGGAATGCTTTGGGTAAACTTTAATGTCTAACACAGTGTAATTACTGTGCGCAATACAGGTCTAGGGGTAGAGTGGGAGTTAAAATTCACTCTGAACTTGACACATCAAACTGTGTGACTTAGAGTTGCATCTGCACAGGAGCACTTTTTTTCTGATTGCACAAAGGGGCTTTTTGGACTGGAAGCGCTCTGAGCTAATTCAGTTTCTAATTTGCATTGGCCACTGTTTGGGCTGGAGGTAACCCTGTGCTGTTTCTGTGCATTCCCAGATCTAAGGTTTGTGGTTTTAGCTTGCTGCCTGAAACTCAGAAAATTCATAACAAAGAAATTTTACTAAGATACAAATTTTGAGTTATTCTGGTTAGGCTATCTAGTTGAAGCATGTACCTGTTACCAAGGCTTTTCTTCCTCACCTGAGGGTAACCTTTCCAGTAATATTAAAACCAGAGCCATACTTAGGCATTCATGGGTTTCATGTTAATGCCATCGGGATGGCAGTGGTCTGTCTTATTTTCTTGCCTTAATTCTGTGGATGAAGTTTTAAATCTTTGCTAGAGTTTTAGTATTATGGTTATTTTAAAAAATATGCATTGTAACTGCAAGTTAAGTTACATGTTAGCTAACCAGATGATAATTCTAGAAGCTGATTTTTGGAACAGATTCCCAAATTATTATTTTTTGGTTATAATCTTAGTACTTCATAAGGAAGAGGTTGTTAATACAAAATACAGTAATTTAATTAGTATTGTAAAGTTGACCAGAGACTAAACTCTTTAACAGTTATACTTTTGGAAAACTTACAGAATGTTTTAGCAGTTTCATAGTAAGTTGGTTGTTTTTCATTGAACATTTCAAGTTTTCAGATACTGTTTCTAACTTTAAAACAAAAGCCAGGTCCTAGAAAAATAAGACTCAGTAAAAAAAAAGAAAAAAAAAAAATTGCTCATGAAGATTTTTACCTCTTTGTCGAGTATTATATAAATGTTAAGATTTATTTGTATTTTGATGTTTCATTGTGAGCTTTTTTTTTTTCATTATGAGCTTTTGATAAAGTTAATTGCTTCCTTCATCACTACATAAGAGAATGGGAGCTATCAGTTTTACATTATCATAAAGTAAATTTTATTATACATTTAGTCATACTTGATGTATACTGCCGTCTCACCATGAGGTTCCTAGACAAAAGACAGCAGAGAGGAACATTGTATCTGAGCTCTTAGTATAATGGTTGCAAAATGGGTCCAATTGTAAAATACAAAATATTCACAGAATATGACTGTCAGTTTCATAAGGTAAATAAGTCCTTTAAATCTAACTTTTATACCGAAAAACAATCCCCAAATCAAATTATAGCAAGTTAAGAGTAAAATCTCCTTTTCTCTCGATCTCAAGGGAACTTTATTTTTTATTTTTATTTAAAAAATTTTTTTTGGCTGCGTTGGGTCTTCGTTGCTGTGCGTGGGCTTTCTCTAATTGCTGCCCACGGGGGCCACTCTTCACTGCAGTGTGCGGGCCACTCACTGCAGTGGCTTCTCCTGCTGCAGAGCAGAGTCTCCAGGCATGTGGGCCTCAGTAGTTGTGGCTCACGGGCTCTAGAGCGCAGGCTCAGTAGTTGTGGCACACGGGCTTAGTTGCTCCGCAGCATGTGGGATCTTCCTGGACCAGGGATCAAACCCGTGTCCCCTGCATTGGCAGGCAGATTCTTAACCAGTGCGTGCACCACCAGGGAAGTCCCTCAAGGGAACTTTAAAAAGAAGAAAATAACTGCCTAAGTTGTACTATAAACTTGTCATCTACATATTAATTTATGATTTTGTTTCTATTTTCAGTTGGTACTTTGCTGTATAAATGTTCCTTTTCTCCAGAACACCCTGTTTTCAGCTTCAAGAGTCATCCCATAGTTTAGTTTAAAACTTAATGATCCCCTACCCTGACAATTCATGTTATTTCAAAACCACTTGACTCCTATCTTTCTAGACTGAAGAGCTCTGTATCTTTTTTGCTTATCTTCCCTTTTCAGTGCTTCATTGTTTTATTCTTCACCTTAAGACAGTCCCCGTGTTAATGCCAATGTTAGTTAGTTAATGTTACTTTTTTAGTTCAAAATAGATACTGAAAATTGTATGGCAGAGTCTTAAATAATTTTTAGGACTTCTCAGTACTCCTGAAATCTTTTTTTGTGCTTTTACATAATGAAAGGAGGAAAATGAAAGAAAAGAACCAAACACCAGCAGAAAAGGAGAAAACTTTTTCATAAATGGACTCAATTACCTATCTTTTCTGATGTAAATTAAGTAATTTAAGAGAGCGTATAAACTTCCTCTGTTAAGCAGACATAGTTTGATTGTAAAATGGGTGGGGGTGGGGGATGAGAAAGATATTATTTGATTAGTCAGCAATCATTTATACTGTGTGCTTTCTAGGTATCAGGCCCTGTATTAGATACTAGAAGCGGTGTAGTGAAATGACAGGGGAGAGAATACCTGCCTATCATAGTAGTGATTGGGGGAGGTAGTCAGGGGCTGTGTGGAAATTTTCGTCCCCAGAGCATTTACAATGTCACTATCTGAATTCATTCAGAAAGATTTCAGTTAGTAAAAGGTGAATAAATAATACTGCAGCAAAAGGACTTGTGCAGAACACTCACAGATCAGGGTGGTAATTATTCAACTCATGTTCTTATTAGGCCTGGAATCCAGCTGCTGAAGATCAGTGCTTTGACAGATGCCATAGACTTGGCCAAAAGCAAGAAGTCATTATCACGAAAGTGAGTTTTTAAGACATCTATTTTAAATAAGGTTTTCAAAATTATACAGATAATGCGTGAATATATTGTAAAAGATTGAAATAGAATTATGCAAACTATGAAGATCATCTTTATTCTGTTTAGAAGGAAGCTACCATCAGTAGTTTAACATGCTAGTCAAAGTTTTTCTGTTTACATACATTCATACTTACGTATATGTGTAAATTTCAAAAATTTCTTAAGATAAATGGGATCATACTTTATTATTTTGTAGTCTGTGTTTTTTCCCCCTGAACAGTATATGTTGGAGACTACCCTGTAAGAACATACAGATCAAACTTATTATTATTCTGTCATGGTAGACAGGCAACATAATTACATCTAATTTATTTAACCAGTTCAATTTTTGCTAATAAAAACACTCCTATAATGAGCATTATGTGCATCTTTGTGCATATGTACAAGTACAGTATTTCTTCAGGATAGGTTAAGAAAACTAGAATTCTGGATTTAGAATCTTATTACATAACTGTCAAGTTGTTTTCAAAATAGGCTTTATGATATATGAGAACGATGTAAATTTATGCTTATAAGATGGTCAAAAAGTGACCTTCTGATACTCATTTACCTAAGACCTTTAGCATATTTGACATATCTCTTGTTAATTTTTTTTCTGTGAATTGCTTGCTTGTATCTTTTGCCCAGTTTTCATAAAGTACAAATATAGTTTTATAGTATAAAGTACTTCTTTATAAATTCTGATTTTAAATGTTTTACGTATGTTGGAAATTTTTTATTCCAGGCTCTTGCTTATCTTTGAACTTTATGTGCTTTTTGTCATGAAAAAGTTTAGAAATTTTTATCATTTAAAACGTATCAGCCTTTTTCTTTGTATCTTACGGATTTTGAGGTCTTTCTTAGAACAGAAGGCTTTATCTTCAAACTTTAAGAATGAATCTCCTGTAAATTATGTAAACTGGGAGTAGTGTTTTACTAAAATGTCAATAAAAATTGCCATACTGAAAATTTGGAGGGAAAAGAAAGAATCTCCTGTGCTTCTGATTCTTTTGAAATATTTTACCTTTTGTTTATGATTCATGATATGGATCTTTTTTTCAGATGAAAAATCATTTGCTCCATTACCATTTTTTTTGGAAAAGTCCATCGTTTTTTTCTACTGATTTGAAATGTCACTTTATCATAAACTAATTCATGGGTCTCTTTCTGGACTCTATTCTGTTCCACTGATCTCTTTTCCTATTCCCAGGACAATATTTGTTTAATAATTACTGTGGTTTTATAAAGTATGCTTTGATATCTAGTAGAGCAAAGTACACTTATTACCCTTCTTTTTGAAAACTGTGTTGGTTATTAATATTATTTTTTACTCTTGAATTGAACTTTGGATTTGGATTACCAAATCCCACTTAAGAAATCTTGTTTGGGATTTATTGAATTTATGATTAATTGGAAAACTGTCTTCTTTATAAATACAGAGTGTTCCCATATAAGAACTTAGATAGTATTACTCTCTGTTTTTTTAGGTCTTTTATGTATTTTGATAACATTTTATAACACAGCTTGTATTACAGTAACTGGGACCTCTTGTACGGTGTTGAATAGTAGTAATCACAGTAATCATTCTTGACTTGTTCCTATCTTTGTTGGGAATACTTTATTGTTTTACATTTAATATGTTATTCTTGGTAAGTTTCTAGTAGATATCCTTAAATAAGGTTGAGGACATTTATTTCTGGGTTAATGAGGATTTTTTTTAAAGTCAAGGTTTTTATCAGGAATAAACGTTGAATTTTATCAAATGCTTATCATCTATTGAGATGATCACTTTTTTTTCTCTTAAATTTGTAATGTTATAAATTATACCAGATGAAGGCCTGTTCTTTCATTTCTGGGAAAATCTTATTTGGCTTTTTAAATATGTTACATTTATTTTGCTAATATTCCAGCTTCAGAGTTGCCTATAAAGTTTGCTTTTTTTGTGTGTTGCTCTTATCTTGATGATGGAGTTATAATATGTAACTTATGTCCTTACAGCTGTATTCTTTATACAGGAAAACTATATTGAGTGATAAGGGAAAATGGTGCCCATCTCTAGCTATCATATCATGTTCTAAATATTCTCACTGTATATTGAGAGAAAAGGGGGAGTGAAACAGTTTCTAATAGATTATTATTGACCATTTTTGAAAGCTACGTAATACTGTAAGAAAGCATGTTCTTTTAAAGTATCATTTTCATCATGTCAATTTTTTTTTAATTAAAGAATTCAAGTATTGTGACCTAAAAAGTACTTAACCAATTTAACTTTGTTTTTCTTTTTAAAGTTCATTGTGAAGGATTCTGTTGAAGAAAATATGCTGAAAATACAAAACACAAAGAGAGAACTTGCAGCTGGAGCCTTTGGAACTAAAAAAGCAGATGCTAGTGAAATGAAACAAGCTAAAATTAATGAAATCAGAACTTTAATTGATTTATAATTTGTGGGATTTGGTAAGGTCAGTTTAATTAGATATATACAGAAGTTTTGGAAATGCGAAAAATAGTTTTAGAAATGAGGTCTAGAGTATATCTTCTAAAAGGAGCATATCATTTTATATTAGTGAAGAGGTATTACTAATACATAATCTCCTTCTATATATGAACCTATTTTTAATGACAGTTCAGGTAGCAATAAGTTCTGTTATATACTGTGGCCTAAAATAATTTTTTGAGACAAAAAGTTACTTTTATTCAACTTTTCATATTACCTATGCTGAGTATTTTCATATGTCTTCCAAGTACTCAGCTTTTTCATATTTCAGATAAGGTCAAACCTTTTATACTTTTGACCAAATAGTTATTTTCTATGTTGGACACATTTGGTTATTCACCAAAGTCTCCCATTTGTGATGCTGTGGATTCAGTCCATGTAAACGATTAATATGTGCACAGACTATACAAGAGATTGATTTTATTGGACCTTCAAAAACCATATTTGCATTCCAGAACCTTAAATGAGAGACCAAAGTCCAGGTTAGCAAGTTACTTGTTTTTTTTTTTTGGTTTGGCTTTGTTCATGTATGTGTATGTATGTGTTTTGTTTTTGTTTTACAGTGTCATTGAGATAAAATTCACATAAGTGACTTACAATTTTATGTTCATGAAAATTGGGGATTGCGTTAGAGCACTATTTTCTCCGTTTTAGTCAGGTGGTACCATTCTTTTTGTTTAAATGTAACTTGATGTATTAGTGTGTAAATACAGTCTGTGGGGGTGAGAAGGAACCAGTTCTGCCCAATTTGATTTGAATATTTAAATTACGGAATTGCTGAATAGATATTTCTATATATAGATAATTCTTATTTATGTAGTTTAAAAAAAATAACTATAAATTTTTATAATTCAGAAGACTACTATATGTGAGAGGCATGATAATCTGGATGGAAGTTGGGCTGGATGACATCCAAAATTGTTTCAACTTTTAAAGACATCTTAATCCCTGAATGGAAAATTTTCTTTGTTATTGTGTTTAGAATCAGAATTTGATTTTGGAACTTCAGTAATTCACCCTTACATCTATCTGTAGAATTACTCATCTTTTTCCTACTTTTGTTAATAATCAAACTCACGGTAGTTGCCACAGAATCCTGGATGACTGTTTTAGTCACATTTAAAACAAACTATAAATTTATCAGTCAGGTTAGGTAGTCAGTGTTATTTTTTTCCTTAAGGAATCTTTTTTTTTAATCCAAAGAAAGAAGAAATTACTTACTATAATAGAAGCTTCATGTTTGATGATACAAATTTAAGAACCTTATATTTTACTTACAGTGTTGGAAGTGACTTGACTGAAAGATAAGAGGAGATTGGAGGCAGCGTTGTATTCTAGGGCACGCAATCTTAGATTTAGCACATACCTTAGCAGCAAAATTCTTCTTCTCTGTGCCCTGTCCTTTGCTCCAAAGGAACAGTGGATCAGACAGCAAGAATCTTCCCAGTCCCTTTTCTCTTCGGCAGCAGGTGAGGTAGAGGGCTGATGCAAAGGACAAACAGACCTTTCTGCAGGGATGAGAGTGGAATAATAACTTGAGGTTGGTCCACTAGCATAAGGAGCAATAGGGAAGTTCTTTACCTTGTAGGACTAGCATTGCACAAAATATCAGGTTGATCAGGATCTCATAAAATATGATATGTGGGTTCTCTATATACCAATACTCCAGTGCGATTAAGTATAAAAAGAGTTTGCAGCAAAAAACACAACCTACTCTTCTTGCTTACAAAGGCAGAGCCTTGCAAACTCACTGTAAAGGTGAAGACTTTGCTTGCTTCTTTACCCCAAACATTTACAGACTTGTGTTTTTAAACACATTCATAATGATAAATTTGGCAAGTCATTTAAAAAATACCTTTTTTGGTTTTGTATAGTTCGATTAAGTGGTGTTAAATAAAAAAACAACAAATTCATCCTAAGAAAATATATAAACTACTGGAATGAAAAGTTCACATTATGTTTACGCTGTTAACTCTGTTTCATTGCTACGTAGAGTGATAGCTTTAGAAACATCTTGAAAATATTGTATTCCCAGTTGTGGTTCAAACTGGATTTTGTTTTAAATTTAAAATTAATAAAAGTGAAAAAATTACTAGCTTCCTCAGTGCCGTAATTTTAATGAGTACTTTTTCTTTAAAGAACATTTAATCTTTCTTTATAAATCTCACACGTCTGTTCAGCTGTCTATATTATATAATTATTTTTTACTGAGAGTACATAAAAGTACTATGAGTAGCTGAGAATAACTGACTCATATTCCTACCCCTTTTTAATTTTACTAAATTTCAGTTTAACTGGTTGACTTCTTATTTAGAAATCAGTGTATATATTTTTAAATTTTATGTTAAACGTCTCGATCTTCTTAAACATTAGTTTCGATTATTTTTATTTCCCCATCTGCCAGAAGAAAAGGAGTTGTGATCATAGCTATGTATAGTGGTATACTAGATAACACTCTCGATTATAGACTTTGCCCTAATTACAGCTCCAGGATTGGAAATAATCAAGAAAATAATCATCTTATGTTTAAAACCAGTGAGTACCAATAAATTTATACTCAGGCAGTGCATGTTTTCTGTTGGCATTCATTGGTGTGTTTTTTATTCATTTTATTTATATGCTTGCCAAAGTTCTGTTCATTAGTATTCGGAAGGAAGATTCATAAAAAACATGAGGACAAATGATATGTTTGGCTTATTAATAAGAATTCAAGTGCTTAACCTTAAGTTTTCAACTGTATTAACTTTAAAATATTTGCAAAAGGTGAAATACAACAGCTTTCCTTCATTTAATTCACCCGTAAGTATGTAGTAACTTCCTTACAAGTTCTACATTCTGGAATTCGTGACCTCATTTTTATGGTGCTTCTGAATAAAAAGACCCCAAAATTCTGATAGCTGTGAATAATGGTTGGGATGCTTCCCTGCAGTAATGTCTACTTCAAAGGGGAAACGGTTGATTAGAAATCCTGTAAGCAGATGTAATGTTTTCTTCCATGTTAAAATATTCATAGTTATTGTGTGATAATAAGGGAGAACAGTTTTCTAGATGAAGCCATAATAATTTACTGCTTTTTGAAAGGGTAGATGATATCTTATTCCCAGTCAGATCTTTTAATGGTTAAAATGGGATTTTAAAAAATCTTTTTCAGCTCCCTACTCAACCTTCTTGATCAAGAATTTTCTGACAAATTTAGACCTTTAAATTCTACCTTTAAGTATGAAAATTGATTTCTACATGAAAATAATACAGTTTTAATAATGTATGTCATTCAAATGTACATGGAACAGGACACCTCCATTAACCTGAACCAAGTTCTAATAACTAGGCTACACTGGGACTTCATTTAGAAGGACAGCAAATACCAAAATGACTTCTTAGATTGGTAGATAAAACAAATTCTAGGGCATGCCTTTGCACTTTTGAAAAATGCAAAAATAGGGCATCTAGACTATTCCAAGAGGGTATTTAATGTGATAGATGTGATATTAAAAGGCATCAGAGAGATTATATATTAAAACATGTGCTCTATTTGCTAAAGCAGAGATAGGACTAGTGTTTTAGGAAAATTTCCAGTAAGTCTGCCATCTTTGTTTATTAGAAAGGCAAATAAAATTAACTAGGATACAGTTTCCTGAATGTTTAAACTAATTTATCCTTTTTGTTAGGGTAGGGAAGGGCTATTCCCTAATAGTACATTGTAGGATTTAAAATTTTTTTTCTTGGCACTGGTATCAATATATTGATAAAGGTAAGTTAAATATTTCATGAGAAATGGTCTAGTGAAGGCCACTTCATATGTTTCTTGCAGGTACAGGTGAAAGCAAGAATTAAGATAAAACATTGATTTTATGCATGAATCATAGACCTCGATCAAGCTTGGAGCTCATCTCCAAAGGCATAAATCTGTCCTTTGTGTAGGCAAATCTGACTTATAGTCAAAGGCTATTATATCCACCATTATTCATGGGATTAAAAAATAAGGATATATTGATCACCTCCACAAACGTATGTTCTTGTAATCTGAGTTAATGTTGCCTATTTACACATCCTACAAAGTGACCCTTGGTATTTTAGGCTCTCTGGAACAGATTTTGCAGTATAATTGTGCAACTTTGCATGGAAAAGTTAATACTTCACCTTAATTAAGGAGTATCCTTGGAAGATCAGGGAAGGAAAAAGAATCTGTTAGTCTAATTCAATGACTTCTCAGCCTCTTTTATGCATATTATATGCTTTTTCCTATGGTAAATTTGTCACTTTCCTTCCAAAAGTTAACAGCCTTTACTAAATACTATTTAAAATAAATTACGTAAGCCTTTTCAGTTTAGAGCTTTTATCTCATGTTGTATACAAAATAGGGACACAAAAAGTTAACACCAGGTCTTCCCTGGTGGCACAGTGGTTGAGAGTCCGCCTGCCAATGCAGGGGACATGGGTTCGTGCCCTGGTCCGGGAAGATCCCACATGCCGCGGAGCGGCTGGGCCCGTGAGCCATGGCCACTGAGCCTACGCGTCCGGAGCCTGTGCTCCGCAACGGGAGAGGCCACGACAGTGAGAGGCCCGCGTACCGCAAAAAAAAAAGTTAACACCAGATGATATGTTTAATTCTCCTCCCCACCCCCCAGTCTGATGCTTTGATATCGTTCCTCAATTTAAAAAAAAAGGCTTTGAGTCTTGTGGTCTCTTGTGATACAGATGGAGAGTTCCAAAATACACTTCCTTGTTCAGATTGCATATTACCTGGCCACAACAATAAGGCAGTATTAGGTATCTGAAGACTAGGTTTCTGTTTATCTCAACCAGGGGCCAAGAAGCCAAAAAAGGCTTCTGACCACCTAAAATAACAGATTTCAGTAAATCCATATACTTGACTCAGTAGAAAAGGACTAGTGTTCAAAGGCCCTGTTATTGAACAGTTGCCTCTTTCCCTATTTTTGTTTTAGGCAGACAGTAGGGAGCAGTGGTAGCTGATAGACTGGATGTCAAGAAACTTCAAAAACTTAAAAGTGAACACAGAATAAGTAAATCACAAGAGTTGAGTGTCTTAGTATAGGTGTCTGGAGCCCTTATCTCTAAAGGGATGTTGACCCTGAATACATCACAGTATCGCAGCACAGTCATATAACAGAAATTTTCCCTCTTGTGGACCAATAAAACAACTGTGAAAACAGGATAATTCTGCATAGGTTTTTTTTTTTTCCCCTGTATAGGCTTTTAAGATACAAAGTCTATACGTTGTGAAGCTGAACTGTGTCCAAGCCAAAATTCATGACAATTCTATCCTTGAATTTTCTTACCCATTTTTATATTACAATTTCAGGCAGCCTATTTAGGAAAGCATTTGTAAAAGGTATTTCCCACGTTCTATTTCAAGGCCATTATCCTTATCTTCATAGCAAGCAAACTGAAAGCTTTTCCATTATTTGTGTTACTTCCTAGATTTCTGGCATTTATATTTCTGGTTACATACAGAGGTTACTCTGATCTCTGCCCATTTCTCTGATCTCACTGTCTGTTTTGATCACTCATTCGTTTAATGCAGAGCATAGTTTTAGAGTTAGAGCATACACAAATCTGAATCAAAGTCCTTTGCAGATGATTTACCTTTCTTATTCTCTGATTATCTGCAAAATGAGAATACTGTATATACATTATAGGACTGACATGAAAATTAAGCTATAAATACCTAATAAATATTGTCTTTCCTTTTTGCTTTCTTACAGATTTTCACTTTAGATTGAATTTCAGCATCAGAAACTCAGAGAAATAAGTTATCAAATAACATACCCAAGTATAAAAATAGCAATCTATTTGTAATAATAAGCAGAGGGAAAAAAGCAAACTGTGGCAGACTGTTTTATTTAAGGAGAAGCCAAGTCTTACTTAGCTTCATGGCCCAAGTTTCAGTGACATTAAACGGTAGACATTATACAATTGTATTTATAGATGTTGTTTATGATAATGTTTCCTGTGTCACTCAGGGAGCCGAGTTTGTCTTCTGGAAAGCCTTGACTGGTCAGCAGTTGAGTCCCCTGCTGTGTAACACCACCTCACCTTTCCAGGCGTCTTCTGCTAAAAACCCTGACTCCCTGTTGTGTTCAGTGTAAGCACTTTCTTAATGTATCAAGTGGTTCTCAAATGTCATTTGGGTCACAGTCATTGCTTGATAGTTACTTGGAGTAGAGATACTGTGACCTCAACCAAGGCCCACTGATTCATAATCTATAGTGATGAGGCCCAAGAAACCGTACTTACAAGGTGTCCAGTGTTTCTCAGGAGCAGCCAGGTTGGAGACACAGTTGCTCAAGCTTCTAGTTTCAGTTACTCCTTTTTCCTCTCTCTTCATCTCCAATCCATTAGCAGCTTTACTGCCTTCACCCTGGTGGAAGGTATGTTGGATTACCACTGTCTCTCTCCAAGACCACTATTAAACTAACTTGCCTTCCCATCAGCTCTTGTTCTCATTTAAGCTATTTTCCACCAGCTGCAGAACCAATGTTTTTAAAATGTAAATCACAAAGGTAAGACAATTAGACTCTCTTTAAGAAGGACTGGCAATGAATTGAACAAACTATATTAAAATTCATTAATTCATAATGATACTGGAATAACCCCCCTCAAAACCACCTTTGGAGGATACTGTTAAACCAGTTCCTTATTTTATATACTAACTAGTGAGTGAAGGGAGAATCAAGCATTTATCCTGCCCTTTTAATAGAAACAACCTCAGGGTAACCAAATTACTGATGAATGGAAGTATATAGAAATACTTCAGCTAATAAATGAGAGTATCACCATTTTGCAACCCCAGCGAGATAGATCATCAATGGCAGTTAAGATCATAAGGTAACTGGAGGCTTGGAAGTACCTAACAACATAGAAAGTATTGCCCCCCCCAAAAAAATTACACCTTAATCTGACTGGCCCTCTAAATCAGTTTATAAGAAATACAGAATACAAGGAAACATGTCAAATTGCAATCAGTGAAGTGAAGAATGTGGGAGACAGGACAAATAATCTGTTTCTTCAGTAAATAAATTGCAAGGCGGCAACAAACAAGAAGGGAGGGTTAGGAAACACGACGGAATCAGAGATATATATCAACCAATTGCACTGTATGGGCCTTACTTGGATCTTAATAAGATCAAAGTGGAAATAAAACACAAAGTAAGGGAGGACATTTGGAATTAATAGTTTCTTGGTGAGATAATTTTCTGAAGTCCTTATGTTTTACAGATATATATGGGAATATGAAATTTTTAATCTGGGATTTGCTTCCAAATAGTCTAGTACGGGAAGAGTTGGTGGGGATACAGATGAAACAGTTGTTGAAATTGGGTGATGGGAGTTCTTTATTCTATTCTGCTTACCTTTGTATGTCTCTATAGGTCCCCGTTAATAAAAAGTTAAATATAAATTACATTAATAAAACTTCAATCAATTGCTGTTGAACTTAAAGTAAAATCCAAAGCCCATACCTTCACCTATGAAGCCACTGCATACATACCTCTCCATCCTGTTTTATAAGCCTTTATTTCCACCAAGTTCTCGCCTGCTCACACAATTTCCTCTGAAGGGAATATTCTTCCTTCTCCTCACTCCCTTTTGGCTACCTCAGAGCCTCTCTTTCTGGCTTAATCATCATCTTGCAGGAGGTCTTTCCCGACTGCCCTAAAGGTGGACTTTCCCTGTTGTCAGTGTACTTTATTTAGCATAATTTGCAATTATATATGTTCATTTCTCTTTCAGTCTGTTTCCTACTAGAATATAAGGAACTATGTCTGTCTTGTACACTCCTATATTTCTAATGTCCATCATAGGTGTGATATGGTCAGTACTTAAGTGCTTGTTCAGTGAATTCTTGTGTTGTCTGTCTTAAATATATATGTCAACTCAAATTGTGTTTGATGTGAAACTAAGATGACTGAATGAATGCTTTGGTAGATGTAATTTCTGGAATAAGCTCAAGTATTTCCTTGAAATCAGATACATCTTTATGACCATTGAGACTGTGAAAGCAACCGAGGGCTGAAATGAACTTTAAAATTAGGCACAAATAGATTGTCCAGAAATACAGACTCTATTTGTACGACTTGCAAATTACACTGTAATGAATTTTATTTCAGTTTAGCCAGGTTCTTCTATGCATTGGATTCTCATTGGAAGAGTTTAGCTCATACCTCTCAGTGCAGAGACTCTTGGGTCAGGAGTATCTTGAGGGGTCTTTGTACCATGGCACCTGACACGCAGAGGCACTTAAATCTCTGGTAGTGCTTCACGTACTTTGAAGATCACAGCAACTCATTTTCCACAGTCCAAATAATCGTAGCTTATTTTATCTTCACAAATCATTTGTCATTTAACAGTTTACAATTTTAGGTAAGTCCTCAGGTTCTTCTTAAGCTCTTCTGGTAGGCAGCCTCCAAGGTGCCCCCCCCCCCCCCCCCCCAGTCCATTCTTGCCCTCCAGGTTTCCATACCCTGTATATTCATTCACACCCTTATTGAATAGGGCTGACCTGTGTAACCAATAGGCTATTGTGGAAATAAAGGAAGGTGATCTTGAAGGTTAAAAGCCACTGCGGCTTCTGGCCAGTTAAACCTCTGAAGTTTCTTGTCATGGTCTCTCTTGCTTTCTTCAACAGAATGACTTCTGATTACTCACTTCAGTTTTAAAACGACATTTTAGATCATACCCTTCACCAGCTTGCCATCCTTGCAACCTAGAATCACCTGTACATTGAATAAATATGCTTTATACTCCTATCATTCTAAGCCGTGGATAAAAATGCTAGAAGACGTTGGGTCTGGTACTGATTGTAACAGTCCTGAAAGATTATCGAGTATGTTTAGAGACTGACAATGAACCTACGATGATTTTAAGGTTACAATACTCTAAAATGTGAATACCCACTTCATACAGAAATGTGGGTGACAGATTAATTTGATCTTCCTTTCCTCCATCTACTAGATCAGATCCATCACCATCACTGGAGAACACTAGATGCAGATATCTCTTGATATCTAGAAACCAACTTTTAAAGCATGTATTTCAGTGTCAAGTTTTACACTGGTTTTTAAAACACAAATTCTACAAATTCTGAAAAATTCCCTAATACTTTTTTTTCAAGGGGAATGGGTGCCCTTAATTGAATTAGACAACCAAGATATGTCAAGAAATCTTTATTTTTCATACAAGGTGCCACTGTAGGTAACCATCACACTGCTGTTTTCAGATATACAGAACTGAACGAAAGCATTTTAGCATGCCGCCTTACTGTACATAGAAAACTGGTGAACATCTTCAGACACTAAGACTAGGAAATAAAATGGGTTAACACCATTTGTTGATAAGCTTATGAGTCACTCAGCAGTGTTCTTATAGGCTGTCTTTACCTGAAAGCAGAATTACAATCACTCTGGCAGCGTCTGGGCGATTCTAAAATGCAGGTCTAGTGAAGGGTACAACAAGCAAGCAAGAGACAGGTGCTGTGTCCCAATCTGAAGGGAGACTGATTTGGAGCCTGGCTTGGCACATTTTAAGAGTTGATAACAGCCGTCTTAACCGCGTAAGATTTGAGTGTCCCTGACCACGTACGTTGGCGATCGGCATAACTGAGAATTTCTGAAATACAAGCTGAGGGTTAAAAAGCAGAACTGTCCTTCATATCACAGAATTGCTACTTAACTTTTGCCCAGCTCTCACCAGTTGTCCTGCAAGACCCCCCACCCACATCTAATGGATTTTAATGAAAGCCTCTAACAACTGTAACAGACCTTTCTTAACCCAGCTCTAGATACTAAGTATCGGAAACAAGTGCCTGTGAAGTGGATGTGTCCACGGAAAAGGGCAGTGTTTCTACTGGAGGTAAGTGTCCAGCTTCCTCTTGATGTTGTCAAAGGAATCTGCTCCCATATAATCAGCCTGGCCCTGTTCCCACCGCTCCTTCCGTTCTTCTGAGGATACAAAAGGCTGTGCCGTAGCCGGGATCTCCCCAAGGGACAGCTGTGATACGGCTGATGAGACATTTTCCTAGAAAGGGGAGAATAATCAGAGACTCCTTTAGAGCTGAAAGACCATCTTAAAGAATGCAATAAACTGAAGAAGGTGAGAAGAACCAGGATGAATTATCATGCAAGGTAGCAAAAACTGAAAAGTATTACATGAAACAAAACAAGACACAGAAATACAAGGATCATGATATTTTTCCTAACAAAATGAAGACTTCTTGACTCGGTGAAAACATAGGGAGAACAAATTAATTGGGTAGGGTTAATGTTTAAGTTCTGCATACCTTTCTACAGAAGCCACAAGAGAAAGCCAGTGTATAGACCAAGTCTGAAAGCTGCAACAGTTCATTAGAAAGTGTAAGATGGATGGACAAGGGAACACAGTCTCACGGTAAGTTCTTGATCTGTGTGGGCTCAGAAAGGTTGAGAACTTAAACGAAATGATACCTCAGAAGCTACACTTCAGAAAGAACCTCAGCAGAGAGCCGCACCACATACACAGCTGTCACATTATAAAAGCGAGAGCTAAACAGTCTGAGCCATACACCAAATTTATCTTCCTGTTCAAGCTTATTACCAAGTAGTATCTATTCCTGCAGCTTCTGTTACTTTGCTTAGTTTTGATTACGTCTTCATTTCCCATCTTCACCTTCCCTTGATTCATAACCCTCAGTCCTTGGGTTGTGGAAGGAACAAGGTAAATGTGCAGGAAATGGAGCAAACCTACTCTGCATTAAATTCGATTCTCATTACATACAGGTAGGCAATTAAATTCAGTAGTATCATAAAAGAACATCCAAGTTATCCTTCAGAAAGCTCTCAGGTGCGATAGTACTGGAAATCGTAGAGAAAAAGGAAGGCAAATGACTACACACAGGTATTGTTTTTAACAGAGAAAATGGTAGAACAAAATGTTTGAGTAGCTGTTTTTGTTGCTATATAGATGTGTAGGTATAAGTATATATGTATTTAAATATCCTGGAATTCCAAGGTATTTGGGTAGATTCCACGGGATCATATTATAGCCGAGGCAACGTTAAGTCCTTCCCTTGGATTAGTCCTGCCTCTGCCTTCCACATGCCACCGGAATGATACCAGGAGCCTCTTGCAGAGTCCTCTGCTCACAGTGCTTTCATAAGGACAGCCGTCTCTCAGACCTGGATGTGAGTCCCAGTTCTGCTACTGACTAGTCTGCTACATAACTAAGGGAAGGGATGTTAACTCCTTTAAGCCTCAGTTAATTTTAATATATAAAAAGGGGATATTAACAAAAATAATACTTACTTGACAGAGTGTTTATAAGGGTTAAATAAGAATAGATATCTTAAGCACTTACTATGTACCTGGCAATGTTCCAAGTACTGTGTAAGTATTATTTCCTGGTCCATATAAAGCAATTAGTGTAAGAATGTAAGTGGTAGTTCTTTTTCCCTTTCTCCTTTTTATATTTTGGCACAAGTGCTCATAAGTGAAATGGCTAAAATCTATACCGTAGCAAAGAGAAGGATCTCTTACAACCTTATCATCTCTTATAATTATACCAAGGTAATTAACTAATCTATTAAGACTTGATTGTAATTTACCCATTCAGTTTTATTCTTTTTTTTTTTTCTTTTGCGGTACGCGGGCCTCTCACTGTTGTGGCCCCTCCCGTTGCGGAGCACAGGCTCCGGACACGCAGGCTCAGCGGCCATGGCTCACGGGCCCAGCCGCTCCGCGGCATGTGGGATCTTCCTGGACTGGGGCACTAACCCGCGTCCCCTGCATTGGCAGGCGGACTCTCAACCACTGCGCCACCAGGGAAGCCCAGTTTTATTCTTTATATCTTAATATGCAACATAAAAGTTTAATTTCTCATCCTCTTCCAATTCTTCCAAAAGAACAAACCTCAGAGGAAGACCTTTAAAGTCAGAATTGTTACTGTAAATGTTAATGTCATCTTCCTCTTACAGAGAGATTTATTTTTCAAGATCCAATATAACCAGAGGAGTAAAACATGGCAAATCAAAATAATCCTAGAAAAGTATTTGCTGTATGTTCATGTTATTGTAATTTTCACTTGGAATATATTCTTCTACACGATGGCAAAAATAAAATAGGTATATTTAAATACTTGCAGTTTCTAAAACATGAAATGGGGGGTTCTTTGTTTTTGTAAACCACTATTTTTTGGGGAATAATCTTACAATCTTAGGACAATGGGCTAAGAATTTTATAGTTATAACATACGGATATAGAGATAGATAGATAGATACAGATATTATATATAGATCTATCTATCTATCCATCTAAACCTCTAAAAACCTTTCCTTTGCTCCCAGGTCTACTGAAATTTGCCACAAAATCTACTTCTGCTCTAATCTTTGCTGGTAATATTTCTCCACTCTAAGATGGACATCGTTTTCTTTCCACAAAGTCTTACTTTATCTCTTTGTTCAAAATACCACTAAATATTCCATCTCTACCATTATACCAAATTTTAAAAAATACAGCATCAAATTACCTGAAGGAAAAAAACAGAACCTACCACGTGTACGTATGAGCGGGTGTCTTTGACAAGGCCAAACTGCTGAAGCAGAGGTAAAACGCTGGTAGTGAAGATGTCCCACCACAGGTTGAGAAACTCTGGATGAGTCACAGTGGGATCGTGGGGCTCACTTCTGACACTTTTTGTTTGAGGATCGTAAGTATAATTCCACGGTTTGATTCGTCCTAGGAAATGCACAACTTTGGCATTTGCACCAAATCTGCCAAGTGAGCACAAGTTGAAGCGGTTAGTGGATTCTGAGCACTGACAGTTCACCTTCCATCCGGCAGCAGTGGCTGGAAAAAAGGTGGAGCTCACTGGAACAATTTTAGACTTCTAAAATTATTCAATTATATGTTAAGTATACAGAAAATCCCAAAGTCGCAGTGGATCAGTGCAACAACCCAACGCTGATTTACCGTGGATAGCAGAGGTACAGCCACTTGTTAAACCATTTGATAGTACCTAGTAAAACTGAAAATGCTCATACTGTACAACCTAGAAGGAAGCTCAGCTCCTAGGCACATACCCTACAGAAACTCTTACACGTGTGCAGCAGGAAACATAATCAAAATGTTCACAGCAGTAGCACTGTCTGAAATAGTCATAAACTGGAAACAACTGAAGTGACTACACTTTAGATTACTGTTCAGCAAGTGTTCGTGCCTTTTCCCAGTCTCCACAGGGGCAGTACACTTTCCTGCCTGACTGATATTTGCATGTCTGCATGACTTGCTTTCACCAATGAAATGTGGGCAGAGTGACAGGGTGCCTTAAAATAGCATTGCTTGTTTCTGCTCAGCCTCCCTGAGAAGCTACAACTTCTGCCAGCGGAAGAATGTACCCTGGGTAGCCTGCTGGTTCCAGAAGAATGAGACAGTCACAACAGATGTGGATCAAACCTGTGGCCTGGCTCCAAACTCAGCTGAGATGATCAGAGCTGTCCCAGACCACTCAATAACATATGAGCAAGAAATACATGCTGACTGTTGAATGTCACTGAAATTCGATGGTTATCCATTCTGTTTTTGTTTTAAGGACAACTTCTGGTATATTCATATCATAGAATACAATATAGCAGTGAAAATGAATGAACTGTAGCTACCCAGATCACATAGCAAAAGGATGACTTTTCAAAATATGCTGAAAAAAGAAATTATACAAATTCAAATAGAAACACATACCTATGAATCTACTTACATAAGGACAAAACAAAACAAAAAAGTACTGTTTAAAGAGTAGAAAACTGTAATCAATGTAAATCTCATGATATTGGTTATATTGGGAGGAAAGGGGAAGCTGTGATGAGAAAGACGAAAAGGGGCTTCAAAGATACTGGTTATGTTCCAATCCTTAACTTGGGTGGTGAATGTGTTTTAAAAACTAAACATTTTTGTATATCCTCTTATATATACATTATATTTCACTAAATACACAACACACTTTTTATATTATCTCATAATATAAAAAAAAGTAAGACTTAAGAATGGTCCTGTTCTGGCTGGGAGGAAATCTATACATGTGAAATGAAATAATGATAAAGGTGAATACAAGTGCCAAAAGGAAGATGGGAACAGTGAGTGCCCTAAGAATTCAGAAGCAAGGAGGTCACTGAAAGCTCAGGTCAGTGGGGCAGGAGGTGCTGAGATAGTGGATGTGACTTAAGATTTGTCCAACAGATAGGAGCTGGGTAGCTGGTGCTAATACAGGGAATTGTAGGCAGGGGGATGCAGGTATCAGGTGAGCAGGTGTGTACCAGACCAAGTGTCCTCCAATTAGAGCCGAAGAGGAAGCTTTGATAGGGAAAGGTAAAATGGGACAGATCCCTGGGTGTTGGGCTCAAGTGTCAGATTTTAAGTGGAGTTATCCTATAGGCAGCCGAAATATTTGAGCATGACGTACAGTTCAAAACAATGCAAACTCTATTCATGTAACTCTCAGCTTCTAAAGGTTTTTTTTGTTTTGTTTGTAATGTCACAGACCTGTTATATAGCTATCATTATCTGACAGTTTACTATGTTTGGGGCCCAAATTCTTTGAGGACACATTTGGGAATAATCGTCCTGCCAGGTAAATTTTACTAATGTGTTAAATGGAGACTCCTAGAGGCTAAGTGAGTTGCCCAGAGCCATAAGGCTACTTAGTGGCAGAGATGGGATTCGGCACAGTTTTGCCCCTCTCTTAAACCTAAGCTCTTACCATCCTACCATGCTGCTACTCCAAAACCATGCAAGAAGAAGAGAGCTTACTGTAAATTTCCTCCTAAGGATAACTAACTATCCTCCAGTGCATTTCTTTTGAAGATGAAGTGGACACCTGATATCCCCAAGCTTACTCTCCATGTTATACACGTGGTATATTTTACATGCACACACTTGTGCACATATACACACAAGAACTCTCAATGTTATCCTTAAAAGGATACCTCATAATGCTCAAATCTGTGCACAGAGAGGGCTGTCAATTCAATAAGCAACTGTTACGTGTAAGGCACTATACTGTGGTCAGCGTGCAACCCTAAGAGGCTTTATCCAAACACGGAGATGAGTCATCTACATAAAAATAAGAAACAGTAGCACAAGCAAGGCAACAAGTCGGGGCCAGCAGGGCAGTGCTGACATTAAGGGCTATGGACATGTCGAAGCAATTACTGCAGGTGGAGGTTTTCAGGAGAGGCTTCAGACGAGGCTGAGGAAGATGAGCAGGATTAAGAGACGTGCCTTCAGCAAATGTTCTAATGGTGATGGGGGGACCCATCCCAGAGACCTGATACCTGCGCGCTGGTGGGGCGGGGGCGTGGGCGGGGACAACAGGCACTGCCTCATCCTAGTGGTACACGGAAGCCTAAAACCAGAATAGAGCACATGTGAAAGAGGAGGTGCCCCTTCCACCTCCTCAGACACCCACTCCTCCTGCCCTGACTTCCCTGCCTGGAGCAACAACACTTGTTTGCGTCTCCTTTATTAACTGACCAGTAAGTCTCAAGCCATGACCTGCCGAGCCTAATTTAAACATCACACACACAGTCATTACATGAGAGCCATGAGAGGTAGCAACACTAAGATAAAAGATGAATATAGTGGGCTTCCCTGGTGGCGCAGTGGTTGAGAGTCCGCCTGCCGATGCAGTGGACACGGGTTCGTGCCCCAGTCTGCGAAGATCCCAGGTGCCGCGGAGCGGCTGGGCCCGTGAGCCATGGCCGCTGGGCCTGCGCTCCGCAACGGGAGAGGCCACAACGGTGAGAGACCCGCGTAAAAGATGAATACAGCATGAACTTGATTCCTTTCCAGCCCACTCTCCCGAGAGTTCACATCTGCTGAAGCAGTGGTCATCGGAATAGCTAACACTCACATGTGCCAGGCACTGGTTAACGTCTGCCTGGTTCACCTCAGTTAATCTCCAGAAACAACTGTGCGAGGACACCAAGGCAGGAAGAAGTTAACTTGTCTAGGATCATGTGGCTGGTGAGTGACAAGGCTGGGATTCCACCCAAGCCGTCTGGCTCCAGAGCCAAGGTTCTCATCCACAGCTAGGCTGTACTTGTAAGACACTCCCAGAATCATACGGACATCACCTGAGAGCGTCATTTGTTCCTCCACGGATTAACTCCCTGCCTACAGACGGTCAATATCAAAGTTGGAAATGAGCCCTGGAAACACCCCCAGTATAGTCAAGGACAGAGCAGCAGAAAGTAATTAATAGGAAAGAAAGCTACAAAGCAAGCAACTTAGCACTGTCTGAAGATGGTTCTCAGAGGGATACAGTTTGCACAAAGTTTAGGGGGAAACAAGAGCAAGAAACAGACGGTGGTGCTTCTTAGGACCCACAATTGGACTGTGCTGGGCAGCGTCTAAGGGCCTTCCCAGAGTGAACGCAGAGGAAGGGCATAACGGTCCAATCCACAGAAGAATGCCACTGCAAAGCGGCCAACACGCCTGCACCGCAAGATGGCCCAGTCTCTGCGGGAGGCGGAAGCGCACACCTCAGCCTCTGGCTCTGTCTGTGCCCCGAGGTGGCTCAGGGGCCTCTGCCACCTCCCTGGGTACTGGCCTCGTGCCGGGCGGATTCCTCCCCACGTGGCCCATGGCCTTCTCCTCGCATGTCAACAGGAACACCACTGCGGACGGTCCACACCCTGCACTTCACTGTGGCTCAGGCCTGGGTTCTACTTTCATGAATCCATGATGCCTAAGTGCTTCTCTAATGCTAAATCACTGTCACCTTCTGTGGCCAGGGGAAGGACCCCCTTTCTCAAAATTACCTTCTTTACCTATTCCACCCTAACAACGTGAAAAATTCTATCCACTGGACAGTCCTTTCATCAACCGAGCAGTCTTGAAGTTTTTTTTTTTTTTAACATCTTTATCGGAGTATAATTGCTTTACAATGGTGTGTTAGTTTCTGCTTTATAACAAAGTGAATCAGTTATACATATACATATGTCCCCATATCTCTTCCCTCTTGTGTCTCCCTCCCTCCCACCCTCCCTATCCCACCCCTCTAGGTGGTCACAAAGCACCGAGCTGATCTCCCTGTGCTATGCGGCTGCTTCCCACTAGCTATCTATTTTACATTTGGTAGTGTATATATATGTCCATGCCGCTCTCTCACTTTGTCACAGCTTACCCTTCCCCCTCCCCATGTCCTCAAGTCCATTCTCTAGTAGGTCTGTGTCTTTATTCCCATCTTGCCCCTAGGTTCTTCATGACCTTTTTTCTTTTTTCTTAGATTCCATATATATGTGTTAGCATAAGTCTGTTAGAGGTAGGAACTGAGATCTCAAAGGGTTCTAAATGTGGGTAGAACTGCCCTTTCTGCTCAAGGGCGAGGAATTCCTTGGGTGCCAGTAAGATGGGGGGAGGGTGGGAAGGGTTAAGAGGTGAGCAGAGGCAGGCTGCACGGTGTGAAGCACCTTCCCAACAGCTCCCCAAATCCCAGCAACAAAACAAATTGCAAAATGCACAGGGTGAGAGGTTTCTTGAGAAAATGACTGGGGCCAGGGTACTGAGGGGCAGACCAGGAAGAGCCTGAGGATTCAGGAGGCTGACGGCAGAGAGATGCACGAGGGAGTCAGGAAGATGCTGGGGCTTACAGGCTTCATATGTCACGGGTTCAGGCTACGGTCAGCCCTATTTCTGCACAGTAAGGAACAGGAACCTGTTTTTTAGGTCCTGAGGGCGTTACCTGAACCTAAGTTGCCATCTACCTGACAGATCTACG